AACAAATGGAAGCTGCTAGTTTATAAAAAAAAACTAAAACCTCTGCGAGAAACCATACGACATAATAACAAAATACTTTCCTCTCTCACAAAAAATGTTAGACGATTCTTTTCCTCGTACGACAGCCTTAAAAACAAGTATCCAAACTCATTTTAGTCTTCTAACTATAATTGCTGACTCAGTCGAAGAGAAATTTTCAGAAATTACTATCAACACTGAAAATTTTAATTTTAGAACTAAACGCGGTTTAATTAACGGTGTAAGAACTATTTTTAAATTAATTACCGGAAACCTAGACTCTACAGACGGCGAATACTTTAATGAATGTATAAATAAAGTAACAAAATCTTTTAATTCTACAATTTAAACTCTCCGAATCGACGAAGAAACTTTTAATCAAGATCTAACTCAAATTTAAAAATCTCTCTATGATATTTCGGACACCGTAGCATTTTACGAATGTCAAATTAAAACACTTAATCTTTGCGAAAGCTTTACGGAAGGTTATGTATACCTAGAGTCTTACCTCAGCGATATATTAAACGCAATCACGTTCACACGAATCAAAGTTTTCAAAATCCTTGACAAAAAAAAAAATAATTTATCACTACCACCCTATACTTCGAGCATTGCAAGGTACGTAGATATTATGGAGCTAGAAGCATTTCAAACTGAAAATAAAATTGTTTTTGTATCAAGAATTCCCTTAATAGAACCTAAAATATACACATTGCATCGTGTTTTACCTATTCCAATTTTGGACAATCGAACATTATATTTCATATAATTGCAACAATAATAAAATATTTTGCGCGTGATGACGATTCTTTACTCTATGTAATACCTGAAGATCTAAAAAGCTGCAAACAAATTCGAGTGCATTTATTGGAAGCTCCAGAGTACGAGCTAAACACTGTGTCGAAGAATATAAGAACGTGACCTACAAGAGCCACGCCGTTAAGATTCCATATGATTGCTGTTCTCAAATTCCAGTTTCAACCCCCAGAGTTGAAACCCCTGAAACTAATACTTTGCTGTTTCATTTGCAAATGCCGGAGAAAGAAACCGACAATACTCAGCATCGCCGATGGTAACGATCCCCAACAACCTCCGAAGCCAAGTCGAAGACCCCTGCTCCCGATGCAACTCAAATCACTAACTCCGAAAAGACGGACTAGCATCCACCCAGAAGTAACTGACCGAGAAGCTACGCTTTAATTAGTCTACGAAAAGCTGCAGCTAGGCTCCACCTTTTCACTTAATGGGGGAGCTGTTATATCCGGAAATCCTATTGTCCACATGGGTTAAATGCCACCGACCTGCAAGAGTGCAACGATTGCGAAAACGTCGTGTCAACGATATGTCGCAACATCCGCAGCCGTCGACCCCGTCAACGTCAGCATAAATTTATTATAAATACGAATTTCTATTGTAAAACATTGTCTGATAACATTCTCTCATCACGAGGTTATTATGTCCATTTTTAGTTTGATTTTAACGGTCTAATAACATTCTCTCGTCACGAGGTTATTACGTCCAATTTCATTTTGATTTTTATTTTAATTTAAAATTAATAAATATATTTTTTTTAAAAGTTATTTTTGAAAAGTGAAATATAAAATATATATATATATATATATATATATATATATATATATATATATATATATATATATATATATATATATATATATATATATATATATATATATATATATATATATATATATATATATAAACACTGTACAGAGTGTTTTCTAATTGAATGTCAATTGGGACTGCTTTTGGGTTCATTTTAAAAAGGAAACTTCATATGAACATACGTCCTAAATGTCTTAACTTTTATGATACATGGTGATAAAATTGTCAAAAATAAAATACAGATTTTTAATATCTCTAATACCACTTTAGATATTTTAATGAAATTTGGCACACACCAAGAAGCTTTATTTAGCGTACCAGATTTTTTTTTAAATACGCCAGTACGCCACCGGGTTCTCTTAAAATAAAAAGGGAGTTAATTAATTTCCTGATTTTTTTTCAATTCGCCCTACGGTTTTGGCTCAAAACATCTTTCCCGCATTATCATAACTATATAGTTAATATGACAGCGCGCAGAGCAAATTCCAATATGTTTTATTAAAATACTTCAAAATATAGAAATACGAATACAAAGTACTCTGAGATGTGTTTTGGAAATTTTAATTATTATTTATTATCATTGTACCAGGCTGTGTCTGTATTATTTTGGTTTTAAAAATCTCCACGCATGGTTATTTTAAAAAAGAATGCTCGAGTTTACTAATGACTACTTGGCAGATATTTATTTTATGTATGGTTTGGCTAATGGCAGTGTGCTGTGGAAGTTGGATTCTTCGACTGTTTATGCGCTACTTCTTTCTAGCGATATCCTGGTAACAATATAACACAGCAGCTAAATTGGAATGCTCACATTAGTCATATAAAGAACAATAGAATTCCCTTAGTTGTAGCGTTATAGAGATGTAACTATTTTATAAGTGAAATCGCAAGATATAAAATTTATAATTCGCGTTTCTCGTCAGTTATAACATATCTTATTGCAGTCTGGGGTACATATAATAAAATAAACTTTAATAAAATTAAAATAAAACGACACAAAAACCTTAAAACTCTAATTTAAATTACAAAATGAACACTGAAACGCTGTATCATCACTTCAAATTAATCCGATTGAAATTATATTGGAATTTCAACGATCTAAACTTATCTTGAAATTAATATAGAAAAAACCACAAGCAATACCAATATAACCTTCATCAATGAAATATATTCGTACAACCTAAGAAATCACACTAACATACAGTTACGGAATGCCAGAACAAATAAAAAATTGTGTGCTGCCTCAAATACATACAACCAACTGCCTAAGATTGTGAAAAATGAGTCTTTTTTGTTAAAAAGTTAAAAAATATTTATGCAATGAAATAATACGCTTAATTAAGTTCTTGCAAGACTCGAACTTATTATATTAGCTTATTCTTAGATAATTCAGTTAAAATGCTTTCGGTTCCAATGCTTAATTCATTGCTTAGAAAGTTACTTTAGTTCATGTCTAGATAGTATAATAGTGTATTACAATATGCATATGTAGTGTCTGACTGAATAAAGGATTATTAAAAAAAATAGCTCCTGGATACCCCGAGACCACTCTAGGGGCCATTGAAAGTTAAAAAATATAATGCTATATTTAAGCCAATCACATAAAATTCTGTCTTTCGTTGCAATGTACTCTCAATTTGGGTGACTTCATTTCAATAATGTATTTGTGAAATTAAAATTATATTAAAATTTTTATAAAACTGCGAGGGTCGGGTATCAAAAACTTTGTCGGAATAAATTTATTTTGATCGTAGAATACAAAACGTCATAATTTTTTTTTTCCGTTTAAAAAAATCTAACGTTGATGCGTCTGACATTTTTGAGACAACCTGCATAGTAAGAAAATATTTTTTAAAGGTAACTCAATATTCCCTACTATTTAAAGGTATTTTCCCTATTTTGTGTTATTTTTTTTCTCTATTCAAATTGCACATATTGCAGTCAAATACTTATGACCGATAACTACAAATAAGTTCCGTTCGAAAAATTCATTTTTTTAATCACGAAGTCTGGAAATACGTGCTAAATTGCAACACTCAAAATGATGTCGCAGACGTCCAACAAGGCACACAAAACCGAGGACGACCTAACGATGAAATTTGAGAACGTTACGTCTCACAACACAAAAGGGCAGTAAAACATTTATTGGCCGTTTTTACCACGTGACGGATATTCCAAACATCATTAATTTTCGTAGTTAACGTTTGCCGTATCCATACGAAGTTACACATGACATAAACAAACTAAACAAAACCTCTGGAGTTAGTATTTTATAGTATTTTTTTAAGAAGACAATGCACAATATGATTTCTACAATGTTTAAATCACAAAAAAAGTTTTAATTAAATTTTTAATGTTTAGGAGTAGTAGGCGGTGACATGAAGTCGTTTTTAAACGTTGTTATTACATCTTTTGGCGAATGGATCTTTTTTTGCTATAAAAAACTTATACAAAGCAGTGTGGTGCGTTCATGAAACCAGTTTTATCAGGAAATTAACCTTACAACGAAGAAAACCCTAGTTCAATCTGCAATCTGTACAATGGTGATGGCCATTTGTTTGAGTGATTTCCATTCCCTGTGATCTTAAGTCCAAACTTATCTGAGTTCAGTAATTAGGTTGAATTAACACCTTCCTTAGGCCCGGTTGTACAGTTGTAGTTTAAGGTTGAACCCAGTTTAAATATGCAAGTCCAGTTCAAAACAATAGTTGGTTCACTATGTACCGTTTTGTGAGGTTCAACTGAGTGCTCGAATTTCGGCGCTTTAACCAAGTTGTATGTAACATAATATTATTCTTTATTTTAGTATTTGACAATTTGCTGTGATTTTGCCTAAATTATAAAATTAATTCTGGATAATCAGTTACATACGAAAAATTATCAATAAAACGAAACCAATGTTAGTAGTTTAAATCTCTCTGTTTTTATCGCTCTTGCTCCTTCCTTCAATTGTCCCTCCCTAAACTTGTCTTTTTCTTCTAAACATCTAGTAATGGTGGGGAATATTTGGAACCACCTTAAATAAAGCATAGAGATAGAGAGAAAATATGAGAGAAAATTATAAAATAGAGAGGTTCAAAAACAGATCCGTCCTCTTCTCCTATAACTCCCTCTCTATCCTTAAACTTCCAGTGGGAAATATTTACCTCCAGAGAGAGAGAGAGATTTAAAGAGAGATGGACGTTTCAAACAAAAAGATAGGACAATGTGCGAAAAATGAGGGCATTGGTCATCACTAGACTGATCCTAAAACCGACCTAAAACTCATCAAAGTAATTTAATCCGGTGTACGCATTTTGTGCCGTTACGGATTGCTTTAATTTTGTAGCTTAAGTTTTAGTAGCTTCCTTTGGTTACAGATCCTTCAACTTCAGATGAACGACTATAAGTACCATTACGTATTTACGACATTTGACATCGAAACGTTCGACTTGGAAGACTTCAAGTACAATTTCGTCAACATGACCGCATTCAGGGTAGTCGATATCGACCAGCTGGCGGTGAAGGAAGTCCTCAGGGATATGGCTAAGTTTCGTGCGAATCAGGACGTGCCGCCTATCAACAACAGTTTTGTTCGGGTGAGTTTAAATGGGGCAAAATGGAAGATATTCCTAACTTCCACGAAACATATGATAGTTTTCGCAACTTATTGCACCGAAATCTACATTAAACCTGCAGATACTCACTTACAAACCTACTTTTTTGGATTAATACTAAGTTTTTCTTCTTCATTTCAAACAGATTTCAGTCAAAATCGTCTTTTCCGAGACACGTGCAAAAACCGCATCAAAATTGCAGAAACGAGCTTAAGCCCTCAGTTTTTGTTGCTAATAGCTAAATTTGAATATATTTTACTCAAAATTTGCTTTTTCGACAGTTATTGTATCCAAATCGACAAAAAACCTGCATATATGAACTTAAAACCCTCTTTCTAGGACAAATGGTTAGTTTTTTTGTTGATTTCGAGCAGATTACATTCAAAAACGGATTTTCTTCTTCAAATTGGTACGAGAACATCATCAAACCTAAAGATATAAGCCTAAAACCTCACTTTACGGCTAAAACATATATCTCGAACAGCGTATGTGATTTTTCTCAAATAGGCTTTAGCTATACCTTCGGCGATTTTGAGGTGCCATTCACTTAGTTACGTCACAATAAATTCGCAGTTTGTGCATCCTCGGTTGATCTAGATTTTTAAAATGTTCTTCTCTTCTTCAACATCCGACGGTTCGTAATCCGAGTGACATCGAGACCCGTAAGGCTCGGACCATAAAGTAGATTTTCGCGGCAATCCGAATTTGTCCCGTCGACATAGTTGGCAATTTTCCTGGCAGCGGAAAACTGCGAAAAGGTCGTGCCATAAAGTTTCGAGTTGAAAGCAAAAAAAAATGGCCGATCGCGCCGATAAGACGACGATTTAGGAAAATGTACGGCCGGTCGAATCGTGTATAACTAACTGGCAAGAATCCAAATTCTACGAACGTGTCGCATTAAATATAAGTTTCATTCTCAGGCTGAGGCTTCGCTGATGTACGACTCGGTATACGTTTTCGCCATCGGATTGCAAACGCTCGAGCAATCTCACAGTATCCAATTGTCCAACGTCTCGTGCGATCTGGAACAACCTTGGGACGGGGGCTTGAGCCTTATTAACTACATCAACGCTGTAAGTAAACATTATTTCCCACCAGGGGTAACTTACAGTGCAAAAGGAAAGAATTACAATGTATTCTATAAAATGTTGAAACAGTATTTCCCATTAGACTTTGACATTGACTCATGAGTTTATTTGACACGAGCGCAGCGAGAGTTTAATAACGGGTGACTTAAAAAAAGTTTCTTCTTCTTCTTTTACTTCTGTGGGCCACGACTGCCAGGATCATTCGGCCAACTTAAAAAGTTTACCGAACGTGTTGCATACTATACTTTTTCTACGACAGTTAGTTTTGGGGACAGGATGGAAGCAATTTTGATATGTAGAGGCAGAAGAGTATTATGTATTTCTTTTCCGACGAAATAGATTTACTAAGAATTTTATTAGCAGTTAAGGGTTTAGATAAGAGAATTAAGCATAACACTACAACGTAATAAAAAATTCAGTGTGCTCAGTAAACTTATCAGTTTTAATCAGTGGTCTTCTACGTTTCTGCTTTTGCGCTAGATGTCGTCTCCATAAGAATTCTTGTTTGGGAAGCTAAAGATGGGCGTGGATATTGTTTCCGATGACTGGCTCACATATTGGTGAATCCATCCATCCATTTAATTAACCAACGTATTCAATTGAATATGATTCACTTTTTTGACAGCTTTCTTAAAGTGTCTCAAAGTTCTTAATTTTGTTATCGATTTTCTAGTCCGTTTTTGTATAATAAAAACTACCGATATGTCAAAAGCGCTACCCCAAAATGGAATGCCAAAGTATGCAAAGCTGATGCAATCAAATGTAAGAAATTTCCTAACTTTAACAAGAGGCTCTTCTGTTAGACACTTTCTTTTTGTCAAGAGCTGGCTCTAATGGTAGATTGACCTTTTCAATTTCACTTTCAGTCAATCTAACCTCTTTTCTAGCTTTCCTATTTGGGGGGATAAATTTTTTACCATTGCAGGTGGAATACAAGGGACTGAGCGGACCGATAGAGTTCAAGGAAGGACGCAGGATCAAGTTCAAGCTGGACCTGATGAAACTGAAGCAACACGCCCTCGTGAAGGTCGGCGAGTGGTGTCCAGGCACGGGGGTCAACATAACCGACAGGGGAGCGTTCTTCGACCCCGGCACCATGAACGTAACCTTAGTGGTGACGACCATACTGGTAAATATCGGCTCGCCGATAGGTTGCATGCGGTGTTTTGCACGTAATTCCAGGAGAACCCGTACGTGATGATGCGGGAGGAAAAAAATTATACAGGCAATAGCAGGTTTTACGGGTTTTGCGTGGACGTGCTGGAACGGGTATCCAGGGAGGTCGGGTTCGATTACCTCTTGGACTTGGTGCCTGATAGAAAGTACGGGGCACGAGATCCCGAGTCGGGCTACTGGAATGGCATGGTCAGGGAGCTTATTATGCATGTATGTCCAGTTGACTTTGCTAAAATAGACCAAGTAGTATAGGCAAGGCATTCGGCTTCAAAATGAAATTACTAGCCGAGCCATGACTGTAAAATAATTGAATAAATTAAAAATTTGGAGATAAGTAAAAGATGCCTACATTTTGAAATTTAAATCAGTTTGATGGCATTTGCAGTGATTTCAGTGATATCAACATATTTTGTAAGTAAGAAATGCTTTGTATTTGGTTTTCGACAAAGTGATACCAATAGAAAACACAAAAGATTGTTTTTTGTTCTTAAAAGTTTTCTTTTTTTTTAAATAGTCGGTTAATAATTGGTTTACATGAGGTTACATAGCGAGTTAAAAATGTAAATATCTTGGAAACGGCTTAAAATACAGACGCAAATGAACATGGGTAATAAAAAACGGAAAAATAATCGATATATGAATATGCCGACATTCTATGGCCCATTCGTTTTGAAACATTCTATTTTTAGAAATTAAAACTTTTAAAAAAGATTTTGTTTCTTGTTTTTCTTAAAATATACAAATATCAATTAAGCCATCCAAGAAATGATTAATTCAATTGCTTTGGATTATTTAATTGTTTCGGTTGAAGCAATTGCGTTTGGACGAATTCATTGTGTGCAAACCATATCACCGATTTCATACACTGCGAAAAATATTCCGATCGATATTTCTATTTCGATTATTTTGGTTTTTCACTAGTAATAGCATCAGATAACACAACAGGTTTTTTTTGTTCCTAAAATTTTTCTTTCCTTTTCAGCAATTGTTAGCGACTATTAGCCAGCTCATTTGAAAGTAATATTTTAAATAATAAATTACTAGTCGGCCGTTACTTGGTTTACATAAGGTTACACGAGTTAAAATATTTTGAAAACCGCACGCTAATAACAATACAACAATAACGCATTTTTTTTTTAGTTGACAAATCAAAATATTTTAATGCACAGGATATATTGGTAGATCTAAAAAGTACAATTTTAGAAATATTGCACGTTTTACGAAAAAATCTGTTTTTGTTTTTACAAATGTAACCTTAAGAAGCGATAAGCGATTCAATTGCTTTAAATTGTGTGAGTCTTGTGTTCAAAGCAATTGCACTAAGTCGAATTCACCGTATGCAGTTTACGTTACTGATTTCGTACACCGAGAAAAATATTTCTTCATTGGTCATAGCAATAAAAACATAATAGGTTGTTGTTCGTAAAATTTTTCTTTTTTTTAGTAATCACTAACCAACTATTAGTGAATTCATTTAAAAGTAAAATTTTTAATAATAAATTATTGGTCAGCTATTGCTTGGTTAAGATAAGATTACACAGCGAGTGAAAAATGTAAATATATTTTTTACTTAGAAAATATTAGAAAATGACCTTGTGGTATCAGAACTCAAATCTGGTGGCGCCATCTAGAATGTGATCGCGCCATTAACTTCCCATCCCCAAAAACCCCCATATGCGAATTTTTGTAAACATATTTTTGAAAATTGTAAAAGTAATTAATAAAAAACAAAAAATTAAATTACGCTTATCATCCTGTATCTCCGTTAGTTTTCACTTTAGGACATTGGTTTATTTGACAAATCGAAATATTTTGAAACACCCTATAAATCGAAAAAATACAGTTTTACAAATATTCCAGGTTTTCCAAAAAAAGCTTTGTTTTTTGTTTCTCTCGAAGCCTAAACCATTTAAGAAGCAATCAGTGCTTTCAATCGTGTGAGTCCTGTATTCAAAGCAATTGCGTTGTGTGGTGCATTTCACGTCACCGATTGCGTACACTGAGAAAAATATTTCGATCCCTTGTCGTTTCATTTAAAGTTCGTAATGACGATCGAATTTGCTGTATTCGGCGCCCGCCGTCTCGCTGTTTTAAAAACGAAATACGGTAATTTACGAGAAACGTCGGAACACTTCCTGAAATGGACGGGGTAGAGCCCCCGATTGGGAGTCTGCCATTGTTTGTAATTGCCGCCATTCATTCCGGTAATTCGTTCGTCTCTTTGATTAAAACGGCGCATTCGCGGCTAATAATACCACCGACCTGGTTCACCCGTTAGGGGAGGCATTTCTGTCGTTCTGAATTTTTATTGCTCGCTATCATGCACCGAGCTCTTAGCGCTTCCTTCACCATTAAAACTTTCTTTCTCTTGAAACCAACACCGGAAATTGGGGCGTGGTTAAAAAATATTTAAAGGTGACCTCATGGGATAATTCCTTATCTTGGATCTGTCAAGATATTTAAAAAAATTACTTTTTACAAATCTTCTGGATTCCTCCTGCGATGATAAATTGGTTAAGGCTTTCGCGGCCCGTTGATAAGCTATTATCTTCATTCGGGTTTAAAGGCCGTCGTCGATTGGAATTACTTCCTAACGTTTCGCTAGCACGAGTGGCGAGCTTCTTCAGAGGTCCTTCCATCTCCGATGTTGGACGTAGACTGACGATTTCTCCTGCGCAGGTTGTAACCAACCCATACGGACAGATACCTGCATGCTCTATCCAACCATCACCCAAGTCAAAAGTATGGGGTTATCAGAACCCTGACAGAACGAGCCCGAAGGATTTGCGAACCGGAGAACCTCCAGATGGAACTTGAACACCTAAAAACTGCGTTCGAGGCAAATGGCTACAGTAAGAGGGAGATCGAGAGATCAATGAACTCAAGATCATCAAGATCACGGGATACCGAACAACGACCCTCCACCTCCCGCGCATATCTGCCGTATATTCCGAGTGTCACCGACAGGATTGGCAGAGTATTGAAAAGACACGACATCAAAACAATCTTTAAGCCTACAAAGAAGATCCAGCAGACCATCAGGTCAGCGAAGGACAAGAGGGGCTCACTTTCAGCTGCGGGAGTCTACCGCATTCCGTGTTCATGCGGAAAGGTCTACATCGGAACTACCAAGAGATCAATGGGAACGAGACTTAAGGAGCATAAAGCAAGCTGCAGGCTAGGACATACAGAGAAGTCTGCAGTGGCTGAACACGCACTGGGCAGCGGGGAACACAGGATACACTTTGAGAGCTGTAAGTTACTAGCATCGGTCAACGGCTATCACAACAGACTAGTCAGGGAAGCCATTGAGATTCAAAAACACCCACACAATTTCAATCGAAAGGAGGAGACCCTTAGACTCAACCAAATCTGGAACCCGATCCTTAGGAACGCCCGAGCAGTACCGATCGATATCCCGAGACCAACCGAAGCGGAACAAGCCCCGCCCTCCACCAATCGGCATAAATACAACCTGCGCAGGAGAAATCGTGAGTCTACGTCCAACATCGGAGATGGAAGGACCTCTGAAGAAGCTCGCCACTCGTGCTAGCGAAACGTTAGGAAGTAATTCCAATCGACGACGACCTTTAAACCCGAATGAAGATAATAGCTCCTCCTGCGATGCTTGTTTATAAATCAACCTTGCTTTGAAGTCCGTTTTTATAAACTAAAATTCTTGCATCAATTCTTCTACCAAGTAAATTTCCGAGAATTCCTAGAAATCTAAAAGCAATCAAACAATCTTAACTGCGACTAAAGTTTTCAACTTTTTCCATTATGGGAGTCGTGCCCCTCAAACAATATATAAGCAGGAATTTCATGATATGGAACTAATTATCTTAAAGGACCAAGGAATTAATAACGAAATTGTGAAAACTATCCGAGACATTTGAAGAAACTTTTGAAAAATATTTAAATAAACTTTGTGGTAATAACTTCATTATTGGATATCTTTGGTAAGATTTATAAAAAAAATCAAACGACAGTAAATAGTAATGCTCCATGCTTGAATTCTTGCTAATATTTAAACCTTTCAATAAAATTAAAAAATGGAGTGTTTCTGTTTGACAAAAATGAGTTTAAAAAAATTTTATTTTAAATTTTTAAATTTTTTGAACCCTCTGTTAGAAAATTAACCCCAAATATACATATAGCAAAAGCTCGGTCACTGAAATCAACAGATACATTCATTCCACATTGCAATGATGCTAAAGAGAAAGAAATTAGAATAGCATGCTTGACGAACAAACCCAACTTCTGTTAGCACAGCACACATGCAGTATTATATAGATTTTTATCGTTGTTTTCGTGTACGTAAAGCTGGTGAAAGTAAAGTGCAGCTGTCCCCAATAATATCCTCCATCTACTGATCGAGAAAGATATTCAATCATCGAGAAAAACTGGGGTGCAAAGTGTTTTTTTCCATTATTACTACTCAACAATTATTATTATTAGATGATTTCATTTTGTCAACTATTTTATTAGGAGCTTAATTAGGTTCCTTAATAATATTAACATTACTCTTAATCTCAAAATTCTTTGGCCGTTTGACCAAGAGGTTGAGGCTAACAGCGCTTAGTTGGAGGGGCTCGCTATTTCTTCCACCTGTGGCTGCATTTGCTCGGGCATGTATAACCTGCTTTTTTTTTCGTACATCGAATAACTTTCGATATAAGCGGTTAGCGGGTATCGTGCGTGGTATTTTGTAGTTGTATTGGCTAAGCGGCTTTTGTCCCCACCCACAGGAGCAACCCTACGTACTTTTAAAACCCAACCCGATCCTCCAAGGCAACGACCGCTACGAAGGCTTCTGCATTGATCTGCTCAAAGAACTGGCCGCCATGGTGGGCTTCGAGTACCGTATAGAGCTAGTTCCCGATAGCAAGTATGGCGCTATCGATCTGGAAACTGGAGAATGGAACGGTATAGTCAGGCAGCTCATGGACAAAGTACGAGCCAACGATGTAACATTTTTTTTTCATCAATTACATCAATAAAGAGAGAAAATCAAATGCTTTCCCCCAATGCTGGCGTATCAACAAAATTGGAAAACAATATCGAAACTTCACAGCCCTTCTTCTGAAAAATATTTATTTTGTTTGTTGAGAGTCATTAGGAAACAGCAAATAAAAAGTTGTAAAGATTGTCACGGTTCGCATATTAATCTAAGGGTACACAGGGTAGCTTTAATAAGCGCGACAAATTAAACACACAACCCTTCAACTTTTTTATTAATAAAAATGCATAGCTAAAACTAATGGTCTTGCCCATATGCCACAGAGTGTTCAAAATAAACTCGTATATTTGAATTATTTTCTATTAACAATTCTCGATTTTCTTAAATGGCTTATTTTTTCTGAAAGATTTTGCATAAACCTACAACTTCTGTTAAGTATGTCATATACCTATTTTTAATACTTTGCGATTTATTTTAACTTTTTCAGTATTTACCTTTCAGGTGAAAGAGCTTTGTTGGAGACGTAGGTAACCAATTACTATTACTATTATTACTATTATTCCAAATTAACTTAATTTATTTTTATTTATTAATATGGCAAATGTTCAAAAGTATGTCCTTCTATTTGGATACACATGTTTAGTCTTTTTTACATATTTTCTTGGACCTTGGACACGATTTTTAACATATTCCCACAAGTAGTCCAGATCTACCAATCCATTTCTCTGGGTAATGATGATTTAAAGATTCTCGAACTTGTCTGTTTTGCTAAACCCACAATTGTTGGATTTCAATGCTCTCAACTTCTTGAAGACAAAGAGATAAATCATTCTACAAAATGTTTAAATATCTAGACCCGCGTAGTGCTTCGCGAAAAAAATATGGTCCAAAAATGTTTTTTTCAACGCCGCACGTAATGTGTTCATTGGCTTTGACTTTGCTGTTCCTGTCCCACAATCCAATCCTGCTAAAAGTAGCTTCATTGGCACAAAGAAGTGTCTTGGTGTAGTTCCATATGGAATGGATGATATTTTTACTTTCTAGTGGACTATTGATCTGGGGGTTATCTTGAACTTAATGCTAATTCTTTTTTCTCACTGGTAGCATTCCGGTTTACCATTTTTCAGTATATAAATCAAATCAATTAATTCCGCTTTAGGACAATCCATACTGTGTCCTGGCTAACCAATGCTATAGCAATATTCTTAGACAGTAGTAGTAAGTATATTGAAAAGTATTAAAAATAGATTTATAACATACTCAATGTAGGTTTTACAATTAAAGATGATAAAAAGCCGTATATAGTTTTTTTTATTATAGTTTGAAAACTAATAAATTTTTTGGATTTTGAAAAAAAGGGATCTTTAGGGAGGAGGAAGTTTATTAAAAATGAGTTCAAATTTCCCGAAACTGTACCTTCATTATGGCGCCGCAAGTTAGTGAGTTACAAAAAAAAATTTAGGGTGAATAAAGTAGATTTCAAAATATAAAAAAACCTTTGTGGAGCCTTTTTTGTATAAAAATAAATTAGTGTGATAAGAGTTTAAATAAATTTTATGTTTTGTTTACAATTATTTTTTACCGCAGTATTGAATTTTTTTGCCATTAACTTACTGTTTTTATGTTAACAAAATACAAAAAATTAGATCCATTCTTTTAATAATTTTTTTTAGAAATAAATCACAAAAGTGTTCCCTTGAATTAAAATACCGAAAAAAAAAATGTCGTTTTTTATTATATTTTGAAAATATACGTAGTACCAAACTTGCAATATCTGATCCATTTGTTGAGTTAAAAACTAATGTTACTTTTAAACTGTTAGAGATACAACAATAAACATTCAAGTAATTTTTGTTGGTAATGGAATTATCATTAAAAATACGGCCGAAGAATAGTAAGTATCTGGAAGGAGAATTTGCATGATATATATCAGATATAATAATGGATAAAAAAATTAGTAAATGACCTACTCGAAAGACAATTTCATTACCAACAAAAATGACATGAACTGTTTCAAAGTTATATTACTTTTTAAGTCAACAAATGGATCAGCTGTTTCAACTTTTCTACCACGTAATTTTGAAACAATAATAAAAAATTTGAAGTATATATATTTTTTTAGTATTTTAATGCACAGGGTAGTTTTTTTAATTTTTAAAACTTTCAGAAAAAAAAAAAAACAAAGAAAAGTTAACAATTCGTTCATAACAAATTTGTTACATAATTAACAATGAAATTGTTAATGAAAAAAATTTTTTTTATAATTTTTAAAGAACTGTCAATTATGATTAAAAAAAATCTTAACGAATTATTTAAACAATTAAGAAAAACGTTTATACACAATTAATAATTTTAATTAGAATTTTTCTTTAACTCATAAATGAGGTAAAAAAAACTCTATTATCGAAAGAGTCCATTTGTTTTGATTTGGTTGATTATCTAAATATTTTTTTTATTTGCAATGGTAAAGGAAGTGTCGGAGAAAGGTAATTGACAATGGGTTAGTTTATTGGAAAATTAACTTAATAAAAAAAAGTCCATCGGGAATCAGTTTTTCCAAGTGTTTGGGTTGTACCATAATTTTCAAAGATTTTTAGATCTATTTTATACACCCTAAAAAATTTTGTTAGTTTCATTTACTAACTTGCGACGCCATGCTAACTTCAACATGGCGCGCGGACTGCAATTTTCAACGTTGAATTGAAATGATTAATAATGGAGGTACAATTTCGGGAATTAGAACATTTTTTACTAAACTTCCTCCCCTCTAAGGATCTTTTTTTCAAAAAACTATAAGCAAAAAATGAAACACTACTTTTTACCATCATAAATTGTTTATAACTTTTAAAATTTTTAATATACCAGTCCATTTTTTTGGCACAATGATCTAGATATAATTCCGAATTTTAGTAATAGTATGTTGAATTAACGTCACTGTAAAGTCAATAACTTGAAATCCTGAAAACGTTGTTTATCAAATAGAAGACGTTTTAGCGTGTTTGCTTTTCTTTAATGTAGTTTACCGACGTAATGGAATTATATCGAATAATAACTTTACGTTTGCATATATTTGAATATGGTGTTTTTTTCCCGTCTGGAGAACAGAAAGCTGATCTAGCGGTGGGTTCCATGACGATTAACTACGCCAGGGAAAGTGTTATTGATTTCACGAAGCCTTTCATGAATCTGGGGATTAGTATTCTTTTCAAGGTAAGTGTCCTGAAACAATGATACAAGTAATTATTGTAAACAAACGGCCGGAATCGATATTATAGTTATTTTAGGTTAGGTTATGTTTGAAATAATATATTTTTATTTAGATAATATAAGTGGAGGGTAAGAAATACAGAGTGTGCAGAAAATATGTGTCCTCCCATTTACGATGGCACAGTATCTTGGCTATCTGCATAAATACGAGGTTTGCTCAAAAAGTAAGGTGACTTTTAGAATTGGGCGGGCTAAATAGAATCGATCTTCGATAGTTTTTTTATTATGTTGTTCACAGTTTCAGTAAGTTTCCGTCTAAACTTTTTTTGATGAGACGGAAGTATTAAACGTGTTTTTTGTGTGCTCCTCCATTTTCTACTGTCAAGAATTTTGCGTAAAATATGGAATTTAGTGGTGCAATGGTACAATGCAATGATATAACCTGCTCACTAATCGTTGCTTGTGTCTAACTTTTCGGCAAAAAACAAAACGAGAATCGTGTCTCAGCCTTACCGGATATGGCACCCGGCGAGTTTTTCATGTTCCTAAATCTCAAGAAACCCACGGCAAGAAATAGGTTTACCAGAATTGCCCCGAGGATTGGAAAAAACGTTGGCATAAGTGTATTATATCTGGGGCGATAACTTTGAAGGGGACAACATTAATTTTGATGAATGAACTACTTTTTGATAAAACTTAAGTTACGTTACTTTTTGGACACACCTCGTAAGCTTCATATATGGGTGATTCTGTTTTAGCTGTGATTTTTCATGTTTCGTATTGTTTGTTCTCACTGGTAATTAATTAATGACCTAATAATGACATTTTTGTGTTAATTAGGCGATCATGAACATATGTCATCATCAACCTCTAAACTTTCAGCTGTTAAAAAGGAAGTACCAGGATAGTATTTAGGTCCACTTATGTCCGGGTTTACAACATCTTTACGGTTTGGTGATAATCATTTCCATGGTGATGGCACTCAACTGTAATTTTCTTTTTCTGCCTCAACAAAGCAAGCATTAATTCTGATTGAATAGGTTTTACGATTTCGTCATTCGACATATGCTCGCACTTAATCCTAATAAATTCGCAGTGATGATATTTGGAGATCACAATCAGATTGATAATAATAAAAGCAACGTAAAATTCATATCATTTTAGATATAGATATATAATTTTGTAAATGCAATAAAGCTGTATTTAGGGGAAGGGATTTCAATTCGTCTTAATTTAGGTACCGACCGATAAAGAATCGGCGTTTTTCACTTTCTTCGACCCGTTGGGGCTGCACATTTGGCTCTCCACTTTGGGAGCCTTCTTCATGGCAGGCTTCACGACTTACGCTATAGGCAGGTTCACTCCATGCGAGTGGGTAAATCCCACCCCATGGAGACGGCGCGTTCGATTGGTGAACCAAATGAACATGTCCAATAGTTTCTGGTTCGTTACAGGAACGCTGCTCAGACAGAGTTCGGGAGTATCGCCGAAGGTAGACGATCAGTACCCGGAGAAGATGCTTAATCCAACACTGATCTGTCGCGATATCATTTAACTATGGAACCCACCTAAACGTGCATTCTTAAATCTTATTTACGCTAAATTTAAGGTGCCATCGAGTCCTGAGACGAGACTTTTCTCGTTCATGAACCCGCTGGCGACGGATATATGGATGTACGTGTTCTCCGCTTATGTCCTGGTATCCATCACAATGTTCGTGGTCGCTCGATTTTCGCCCCACGAATGGCACAACCCCCACCCCTGCGACATCGACAACGAACTGCTCAACAATCAATTTTCGTTGGCCAATTCGTTCTGGTTTACCATCGGCACCTTAATGCAGCAGGGTTCCGATCTCAATCCGAAGGTCCTTCACCTTTCTATCCACTTCAACACTTAACCTATCGCTGTTTTAGTTGACCAAACTCTTTAGCTATACTTCTGACGTAGTCACAGCGCACCAGCAGCGACAGCTTCTAACGATCTAAGGATTTAAACGCCTTCAAAGAATTAAAATTTGGTCTTACTTTATTTAGAGGGTATATAGGATAAAATGTTTACGTAAGACTACTCCACATGTTTTCAAAGTAATCGCTGTTGAAGCAGCGAATGAATGTGAGATTTATATTTAATATAAAAAATTTATTGTGGTGGTGACTATTGATGATTGCTGATTTAAAAAACCCTTTTTTGTGTAGTTTTTTTTTGTACAGGGTGAATCAATCATAGAGGTTTCGAAAGTTATGACAAAATACTAAATACAAAAGTCGTTAACATCGCTAGTTCTATTTAAAAAATTAAAATTACTCTAAAGTATATGGTGGGTGGCTCAAAAATGCATGACGAATAAAACATACATGCCTTTGAAATGGATTTTTAAACTTTGTTTTGAATTGGTTTTTTATTAATAATGTAATTCTAATATGTAACTTTCAGTCGCCAAAATCAATCGTGCTGGATGATTTCTTCTGTCATTACTGCAAAAAAAATGGTTTTCTGATATTAAGGTCTTATTATCTATAATTTTCCAAGTAAAATCTAAATTTTGTAAACTAATTATTAAAAAAGTAGTAAAGATAAATAACTGAATTTTATTGGGGCTCAATTAATAGACCTGTAAGTGGAGCCGCAATCTATCTATTGGTCCAAAAAAGTCCAGTCTTTGCACTTATCGAAGTTATTTCGTGTGGTTATATCAGAAGACGCCATCTGCTAGCAAGGCTAGCAAACGCAATCGTCGTATTAAGCTGCTAGTAAGCCTTCTTGAAGCCTTCTTTCCATTCTTTGCCTTCCAAGATTGAGCAAAAGGCATTAAATTTCAAATTTGAATTTATTTGGACTTTAAGATTAGTAGATGCACGCTTATACGGAAGAAGACCAGCCAGGAAGCCTTTAATTTCTGCTAGAAAAAGAGCTGCTGGCTTGAATTCGCAGAAAGGCATACCAACTGAACTGCTGGTGACTGGAGAAAAGATCTTTAAAGTGACGAAACACGTTACATCTCTACTTCTGATGGAATGAGACGCCTCAGAACACCTCTAAACCAGCGTTCTAAAATCAAGCGTAACCCTCTGATAACCCTATTGTTCTTATTTGACTTCTTTTTTTTGTTTAGTTGACCAAACTGACCATCAAAATGATCATTGTCGGAGACGAGACGTTGATTTATTAGTACGGCGTGCAATTCAGCCATTAAGCATGTAAATGCTGTTCACCAAATGAGTGGAGACCTAAAAAGCACCTGGTTTTCAGTCAAAAAAGAAGGTAATGCTCACGGTGTGGTGCTTGATGAATTTTACCAGGCACTAAACAGACTGTATCATTTGTATTATATATGTATTATATACCCAATTTACCCGATAAATTCCGGGAACTGAGGATAACCCCGGTACAGTACAATTTGGCAAAGGTTTGTCGGGTTGCTATTCATCTGGTTGGATGGATCCTCTACCCTTCATTGATGGCATAATGGACAAGTTATGCTTTTCTTGGTAGCTTTATTTTTCATTTTATTTTTTCAATGATCTTCTCGGGTCAGGCAGAAATATGTTAGAGGTCGATAGAAAACTTATGGGGAGAAGTAGAACGGCGAATACGAAGCGAGGCATTTCCAAAGAAGCAAGCCTTGGTAAAATTCTAGAAGAAGTGTTTAAATGAAGTTGATCAACTCCATGCCAGAAAAATTTGATAAAGCTATAAACAGCAATGGGCGCGCTATTGTTCATTTCATTTGCAAATAAGTTACAGCTGGTATTCTTTAGAGTGATTAAAATAGAGTTCGTTTTTTATTTAGTTAATAAGTCGACCTTAAAACCACCTTAAAGAAAGATTTCGATGGACTAATCTATGGAGCAAACGAAGCTCGCAGCGAAAAGCTTCCTGAATTTGTCAGATATTTCCAATTTCAATTTGTTGCAATATTTATGTCCAAGAGTGTAGATATATAAAATTTGATCACGAGAAACCTTGCGTATTAAAATTTCAAATTAACAATTCCTCGTTTGTAATTCGGACAGTCGCTTCTGGGTGCTGAACTATCCTGCAACTACTTTGTTGTCTTTGTTTTCGTTTCTTGAATGAATCTGCGTAGTTTCGACTCGACGCGCGTTGTGATATTGAAAAAAAAAATACGGACAGTGTTGGGTTAAGTATTGAATGTCTCACGCATAGAATCCTTATAGATCAATACGTAGAATTTCATTTACAAAGGAATGATACATTTTGCTAATTGACAGATGCCGCAAGCAGAACTGTCTATGCTCTCTTGTCAATTCGGGCAACACATTATAAGCTGGAACTTGACAACGTAAACACAAGTGAGAATTCCATTTTGTTGTTTAAAATCTTGAAATTAAAATTTATTTTATCATATGTCCAACTATTAATGGCTTGCATCCGGTCTTCTGTATTTAACCACAGTTCATCACGTCTCTCTCTTTTTGTTCCTCTTGTATTCCCCCATTCCAACTTTTCTTGGCTTTTCTTCTTTTACTTTTCCGTTCCGGGGTCCACATTAGCATTTGTTTTGGTGTTTAATCTTCTCGAATTCGCTTAAGTGTTTTTCGAGTGTTCTTTTAGTCTGGATGATATTGGAAGGTTTCAGGACAAATAAAGAATCCGGTTTTGATGTTATATTTTTTCAGAATTTTTGATAGTCGATAGGTGATATTGTGAACATACGGAAGTATCGGCAAACTGAGTTAAATTTTGTAAGTAATACCTTGATAACAGAAATTGTTCGCAAGAGGAACAGGGATGAGATGTATTAATGTGTGTATAGAAAAGGAGGAGTGTTGTTATTTTCCAATTTGATTGTGAAATAGATGTTTCTGTGTATGGAGTTGAGATTGTTCAGAAACGTTCCATTCCATAGGCTCAGTTTTAGAAGGAACCTATCCACTGCTAGTTCTTCACAGTATTAGAGATGGCAGGGAAAAGTGCTGGGCTGATATTTACTTGTTCGTAAATTTCTGCTTTACATGTGAAGTATGTTCCAGATGAGAGGAGGTCTTCGGATTTTGAATTTTTTGAGAGGATGCTTAGTGTTTCAGGTACAGGAATTTTAGTAAATAGAGATTCAACGTCAAAAATAACTAGAATGTCGTTTGGATCTAACTTAATACTTCTTAGTTCTTGAATAAGATAAAAAAAACTGTATTTGGCGAAGCGATAGTGCTAACTATAGGCCAAAGAGCACATTTTAGAGTCTTGAGGAGTGGTCAACTTTTTTATGTTTTATGGAAGAGAAGAAGCATTAACCACAGTCTTAATTTTACATTTTAGCGAACAAGTAGGATCTATATCGAAATGGTCGTAAGAAGTGTCTGAGAGTATGTCTTAAATTATGTCTTGGTAATCGGCAGAATTCATGATTCATGATTCAGTGTTTTCTTTTTGGTTCTTGAATAAGATGAAAAGAAATAAGCACAAAACTAGCAACGATAAACCTAATCCAGCGATATTATAAAATGTTCCTTATTTCATGTTAGGTGACAGTTTTGCTTGCGGTAACTTCTATTACATGGAAAACTGTACCATTATGATGGGCATAGAGGGCCGCTCCCTCTCTGACATCCTAGCCTAATGGTATCCTCAAACCCCTTGTAGGCCACATCCACTAGGATAGTGGGAGGAATATGGTGGTTCTTCACGCTAATCATCATATCCTCGTACACGGCCAACTTGGCCGCCTTTCTCACCGTAGAACGGATGATTACGCCCATCGAGAATGCCGAAGACTTGGCAAGTCAAACAGAAATACCCTACGGCACGTTAGAAAGCGGATCCACGATGACCTTCTTTCGGGACTCGATGATAGAGACCTACAAGAAGATGTGGCGGTTCATGGAGAACCGAAAACCGTCGGTGTTCGTCCCAACGTACGAGGAGGGCATCAAGAAAGTGCTCGAAGGCAACTACGCGTTCTTAATGGAGTCCACGATGCTGGACTACGTGGTCCAGAGGGATTGCAACCTCACTCAAATCGGTAACTATTTTGTAGTAGTGTGCACGATAGCAGTCCAAGTTGGACGGTATTTGAGCTCGTGGCAAAGGTTGATGATTTTTATTCTGTATTTCAATATTTAAGACGTTTAGGACATATCTTCATGTGAATTTTTTTTAATGCCGATCTGACGTGCCAGAATACGTGGAAAAATTAAAAAAAAAGCTATATAAAAATTTTGGACCTACTGCATAAAAAACTTTATATTAAACCGTGAAGAAACTGTAGTGTTTCATTTCACAAGTTAACTCGTAAGTCCTTTAGACGCGTTATGATGATATGACCTACTGCGATTTGTTCTGTGATACTAACAAAATTATAATTGTTATTTGTACGCAGTGTTTCATTACTTTCATTATTATTTGCTGTTTGTTTACTTATCTTTGTGACGTGGTCATAACGATTTCTGTTTGTTTTATACCGAATAAATCGCACTTCTGTCAAATATTGTCTCAGGAAAATGATTATTTTATAAAATTAGATCCATTTAACTGGAAACAACTTATAGATTTCGAGATAAGATTTTTTTTTTATAAAAAGAAGCACTTCATCCAATTATAAACAGATTGTATATTTTCCAGGCGGCTTGTTAGATTCGAAAGGTTACGGCATAGCAACCCCTATGGGGAGCCCCTGGCGCGACAAGATATCCCTCGCCATCCTGGAACTGCAAGAGAAGGGAGAGATCCAGATGCTGTACGACAAATGGTGGAAAAACACTGGCGAGACTTGCACGAGGAACGACAAGGGCAAAGAGTCGAAAGCCAATTCGTTGGGCGTGGACAACATAGGTGGCGTCTTCGTCGTTTTGCTTTGCGGATTGGCGTTCGCCGTGGTCGTCGCCATCTTGGAGTTTTGCTATAACTCGAAGAGAAACGCGGTTACCGAAAAGGTTAGCTTGTTATAGACGCTAGCTAGCTTTGTTTAGGACCTGTAAAAAGTTTTTAATTAGGTGAAAAAAAAATATAACATAAAAAAGCTTGCTTTTGTATCTAGGAGGCCGATTGAACTACATTTTTTTATATAAATGAGAGAATGATTATTTTAATATAAAGAGGACGGTATGCTATTATTAATATAAAACAATATCAGCCAATGGACTAGGCTTATGGGACCATAAATTTTCAGTCACCAAATCGCAAAGTGACAGCTGTATGTCCCCAATATGTTCACGAATTCCATATTTGAGGTCTTGAATCGACGCTAGACTATTGGCGTAGACTTTATCTTTCAGGTAGTACCAAAGGAAGAATTCTCAAGATCCCGGTGAACCCGAGAGATAACACGGTCTGGAAACTTTTACCGTGAAGGTTCGATGGTTTCGTTACTTGTGTGATACGTAGCGCCGCCTGTGAACTTTATAAGCCTTAGGACTCAAGTCTTTGTGCAAAATACGGTGTAATTAGATTTGTAGAATACCCAATTCCAAAGAACGACGAGGAGCAGCAATATTCTCAGTTGTTCGTGAGCGACAGCCCAAAATTTTCCACCAACTTCTGTATTGCGAACCGGCGAGATGCTTCACGACGAGCCAAAATTGTTTTAGTTTTATGAACCGTTGCTGGCAAATTTTCACCATTTTTATAGTGAATTTTAATAATTTCAATTCGTCGTTGAAGCTTGTATCGTATTTTTTACTAATCAAATGTCAATAAATTACGGCTTTTATACCTCTTACAAGACCCCTTACAACAAAAAGCATCAGCATCATATTGACACTTCAATTTTTTCTTAAAGAAAGATCCTGGGTGCAAAAGTGCGGATGAAAACTTTCCCCCAATTGCCAGCTATCTGTAATTTTATTATTGGAGTTACCGATATAATTGTCGTAGGTCTTTATCTTTGTCAGTTTTATTTTATGTCGATATCTTTAACGATATGTAATGAAAGCGAGATTTGCCTTTCATTATTTCTGTGATCCTAAACTGCCTTGGAAGACTTAAGTGTACTCCTCATGTACCTGATTTCATGAGTCAACTGGTTTTATAGGGAGAAAAAGAGGTACACTACAGCAATTGCAACAGCAGTCTAATTGATTCTGGACAAGGAATCATAGAATATTTAAATTTGTATCATATGTAATACGTCTATGGACTATTTTGCTGTCCTTTAAATGAGACCCCTGCATGTTGATAGTGGTCAAACAAACACGGATTAACTCCCACTAACGGTAGAGTAGATACCCACAGAAACTGTTTAACTTTGTAAGCGTTTCAAATGGAACGAATTGTGAAGAAGTCATTATTAAAATCACCTGTTACTATTATATTGGTCTTCAAAACCCATAGTTGGTGATTGTAGGCTGTAGGCTCCAAATCAACAGGCCCAAACTGGTGAAGCACATTATCATTGACAAACAACTCAAGACCCCCATTACTGAACTACCATATATTCCATCTCCCAACCTGAGTTTTCCAAAATTAAGAGCCAGCGATCCGACAAAGAAACGACTTGAAATGTGTGATCTTTCAAATATACAAAAAGCTGTGTCCACTTCTTTATTTGATAAGCATTGAATATTTAAATGTAAATTGAAATTAAATACCTCAATTTAGCCATTTGCCTTAAGTACTGTGGTTTTGGTTAGTGCACTGAAGCACAATGCTGTCACAGTTGTGGAGAAACTGTTAGAGGCAGACCATTCAGCAAGAGATAAACACTGTCTAGTATTCCAGCGACGGTTGGAACGCTTTAAAAATTGTATTAATTACGAAAATTATTTTTATAAACAAAAAAGCAATGAACTATAAAAAAAATTGCAACTAACGAAAGCACCTTGCAAAAATACCCTACAAATAAAAATACACTTTGATATACTAAAACGTACAATCAGTAGGTAATAGTGTGGACTTATTAAGTGATTATGGTGACCGTGTATACGTGTGCATCACGGAAGACTGGAAATATCGGGCCGAACTTGAAAATATTGGTATCCGTAATTTTAAATTAGCAGTCAGCTTCTGCAGGAATAAGGGACAACATGGATGCAGTGCCCTATACGTTAAGCAAAATTTGAGACGCAGCGAAAGTCGGAAAATTGGTGAGTTATCAGTACAAGAGGAAATTGAATGTGCTGCGGTGGAATGCATACTCCAAATAAACGTCCTCGTATCAGTTTATAGACCTCCTCAAGGACAATTTGATCTATTTTTAAGTAAACTATGGTCAACACCAAGCTGTAGTAGTTGTCTAGATGATATTTTGACCAATTTAGATAGTAATAAACATTCTATAGTAATTCAAGCTTATATTTCAGAACATTTGGCACAGCAATTAGCTTTTAACATAAACGAACCCTTAGAATAGGAAACGCATATACGGACAGTATGTACAAAACTAAATATGGTAGGTTATGCAATTTGAGTTATCGGAAGGTATGTGAGAACGGAAGCCTTAAGAACTGTTTATTGTGTTCATTTTGAATCTATTGTACGGTATGGCATAATATTCTGGGGTTGCAGTTCCGAATTAAAAAAAGTGTATTATTCAAAAGGCATTACAATGACCCTTGCAGAGGATACTTTAAGCAAGTACAGATAATGACCTTGTGACGAATCTATATTTACGAATGTCTAATATTTATATTTAAAAGTAGAAACGAATTTAACGCAAACATAATACACAATTATAACACTCGAACCCAGAATATTATGGTACCTAGTCACAGACCGACAATAACAGTAAAAGGGACCTTGTTGTATGTGCATCAAGATGTTTAACCATCTAGCGAACTCTGCGAAATGTATAAGCACTATTAGAAATTTTAAGAAAAGTATTAGGGAAAGGTAACGGGCCTAGAACCATATACGCTTGACGAGTATTTTGGTGAATTATATTAATTATTCTTTGTATGTTTTTGACATCATTTCAATTTTACTCTTCTTGTCAAGCAAATTGAAATAAAGAAGTATTATTATTATCATTATTATTATCGATGACATTATCACAGTTATTGTTTGTTAGTCTACGAAAATCAGTGTCCAAAGTATTGTGCTCTCTAATAGATTGTGTTTTTGCAAGAGTTCAGAGACCAGCCATCTGTCACATGCGTATCAATATTCCCTAGATGAAGGACGGGTATGTTGTTGTTCCAGAGATCGGCGATGGCACCCCAGCAGTCACTGTGTTCAGAGATGGGGGGCGAGTTGTGCTTCGCCATTCGTTGCCGCGGCTCGAGACAGAGACCGGCGTTGAAGAGACAGTGTTCCAAGTGCCTCTCTGGGGTTACGTACGTGCCGTCCCCACTTGACATACCGGTTCACACTCCTCTTCCTCCGTCTAGACCCGCGCCATCCCCCGACATACCGAGTCCACCGACGAACGGTGTGTCCACCAGGACAGCACTTTCTCAAATACAATTTGTAAGTATAGCACGAGGCTGGAATTCTTAAATAAAAGTTGAAAATTTATTTGATGCGTCCCTATTCTTTGTGGTCGGCTAGATCTTAAAGTTTACTTCGTAATAGTGGAGATATGGTTACAAGAACCACATATGATATGAAGTTTCTTTTTAGATAACAAGCCTTGAAAGTCCCATAATTAAGCGTACTTTAGTCCCAGTGGATTAATTCAACTCGTTCTGCAGTACACTATCTTCACTCTAACTCACTGAACTGTCGGTGCAAATCCTGCTAGTCCAAGTACCTTATATTGAGGTTCTCACCGTATACAATAAACTATATTCCACCTCCTGACCCTCTGTGTTTCATACAAAGTGAACCGTCCTTTGTAGAGATTCTAGCTTGCAAAATTTACTCCACAATATTGCTAATGTGTTTCTGCCTGTTCTATACACATAATTTTTAGGATGTCGTTTTCCACATTACCATTACTACAATATCTCAATTTTATAGAAGTATATTGCCTCCAACTCAATTAACAAAATTTAAAAAAATAAAATTCTGTTAAGATCATAACTTTTTCATTCATCATTCTATTTTCATTCTATTTTACTTTCAATAAATGGATCGAAGATCTCACCTTGCCATCCATATCGTATGACAGGAACCCTATACCATCGAACGATATACGAAGTAGTGTATTCAGATCTGATCTTGTGAAAAACTGTGTCATATTTACAAAAGCCTTTCTGTACTGTTCGAGTGCGAATGTCATAAATTGTTAGAGAGAAGTTTTACTGACTCTGGATCTGGTGAATGCGACATAACAAAGTAAATCAGAATTATTTCATCAGAAGCTAAGATTAATTATCTCGAATTTCAAATAACTTAAAAAACTAATTCTATTCGGCAACATCGTACAAAGTGAAGACGTTTAATTAAAGATATTATTATATTCATTCTTATTACAAGATCTCTTACAAAATGTTGGTAATGGGAAATATTCCTTAATTGTTATAATGTACATTTGTTCCAGAGGGACGATTTACCATCATTTCAAGTTGATGGACGCCATACCAGGATTCCATAGGAAGAGGACTTTTTTTAGCAAAGCCTAGAGCGGTTTTTGTATAGGCACCTAAAATTAAGTCAACAATATTTGTATCGAGTTTTAAGTTATGTTTATAGAGATGTTGATAATTTGTTTTTCTTCGAAAATTGTGTGGTGAAAATATATATCAGTGCGTATTTTATCGTGTTTAATTTCCTTTTATCTAAAAAATGTTCTGAAGGATTTAGGGTACTTCTAGGAGACTAACTAATTTTTGTATTTCCTTAATTTTTGAAAACCCCCCTTCGTGTATAAAACTGGAGAAAAATGAATTCAATTCTAAGAACATCATATTCTATTTACATGGTATGCGGAATACCCCATCCGCTTAACTCAGAAACTACTAACGATAGAATTTTTTTTATTTGTCATTTATACAAGCCATTCTTTTAGTGTATAATAAATATCAGATTTTTTGAATTTCATTGACAATTAACAATTTTTCCTGAAAGAGAGCATTGGTTATTGAATGGAATGAAAAAATCCTCTATGGATGGGACTCCTAAAAATGTTTACGTTTATAGTATTCTTCGGAAGGACAGGACACAGGGAATAGAAAGTTGCACTATTTTCCAAATTTTATGGATTTTTTTTTTAATACCTAAAATTATGATATAATGAAAATAATAATAATAAAGGGCCTCTATTCGCTTTCGAAGGAGATATCTTACAAAAATGTATAACTGTGGGGGCGGCATCCAACATAGTTGCTGTCATGCAACCCCCTAAAACGAGCATATGACACTATTTATAAAATAAAATATGGCATATAAATTACATAGACATTCATTAAAAATGGTAGAGTTAAATTGTGAAAAAACCATTTTTAATAATTTTAACATCGCTAGAATGAATTCAAAAAAGAAATGCATATATATGATGGGTCTATATTATGTTAAATATATTGTTTAACTTTTTGTTTGAATGACGTTAGTGAGGTGATTGATCTCAGTTGGAGAGGGAGTTTGTTGTAAGCCTTGATAGCATTATACGTGAAACTGCGCTGAAACTGTGCTGAAGTATGTTTGTACGTCGAACGTTGAAGAGATATTACTTTTTGAACTAACACTAAAAGCTGCGATTTAAAATGTTCGTCTAATTCTAGCCAGCGAGAATCCTCTAGATTAGTAGATATCTAATCAAATTCTGAAGACGCTGAAGACTAACCTTGTCCTTTTGAAGTAGGGCAGGCCAACAAACTACCATACAGTATGAAATCGAGGAGAGAATTAAGAAATCGGTAAGTTTTAACTTAACTGCTGCGTCCAGAATATCTTTATTACAGTAGAGAATCCGAAGATTATAAAACGATTTCTGGATCAATGAAGCTACGTGACCTTCAAAACGCAGATATTTATCCAAATGCAGAACCAGATTTTTTTCATTCGGCAACCGGTCATATGAAAAGGACATTTAAGTAAATTTTGGCAGTTATTTTTCCTTTATCTTTACCCAAACTTGTAATTTGCGTATTATTTTCGATAAGTAACAGATCATGCTTCATTTATATTGCCGACGACGGTATTAATTTGAGAGTAATTAAAAGAGAGATATACTTGAGTGTCGTCTGCGTACTGATGGGAGTAAAAATGTTTAATAAATTTAGAGAAGTCGGGTAACACACCAGTCCCCACACCAAAGTATTTCAGTTTGGTCCAGGGTGTCCAATGCCTTGCTATATTCAAGCAATATTAAGCAGGTATTCAGGCCTACATCATTTGCTCGAAATATATCATCACAGCCGTATTTGTACCATAATGTGAACTAAAGCCCGATTGCGTTGGGGGTAGAATATTGTGCCAAACCATAAAATCTCCAAGCCGCTGAACAACTTTTTCTAGCACTTTAGTAGTATAGTATAGTATAGTAGGGAAAATGCTAATAGGTCGTAATTGAGAAACATCATGCGGTTGAGATGTTTTAGGGACAGGAATGACGTTAGCGTATTTCCGGGGTTTAGGGAATTTGTTAGTGGACAAGCACTTATTAATAATATACGTAATATATGGCAAAAGTTGGGGGATAACGTATCAATCAATCTCATCAGACCCCACGGCATCAGTTCTAATTTGATGTATTATTATTCCTAATTCGTTAGGGTTAACACTTGAAAATGACAGTTTCTCTGGATTTAAACAGTTCTTGTTGTTGTAGAAGTGGTTAATGAAATCATTATTTAAGTCTGTTTGATTAAGTTCATTAACCGAAATATCCTACTCATGCAACGCCTCCATTTTTTAACACACTGAGCATAATACAGTTTTCTCAGATTTCCATCCTTATCTCTTCTGTTTGCCTGAATATTTTTTTTGGGATCCTGGATCGTATAACGGGTCCATCTTTCCATTTTATGCAGAATACGAGAGTGGGGTGAAAAGTGTCGGGCCTGACCAAGAGGAGGCACCACTAGGTCTACTTTTGTAGCCGCGTCCTACGACAATAATCGCTACGTTATTTTGTGTTTGAGACCACATTGCGCAAGATGCTTCCGTCATCAAATACTTCTATTAGAAAGGTTTTGCGCCAAAACAAATTATAGAAGAGATAGATTCAATGCTACGAGACTCCTCCCCATCATATTTAACTATTAAGCAGTGTGACGAGCCTCCCTCAAGACGGTCCGCCGAGGAACTTCATTATTTTAAATATATTCTGAAAATTTGAACATTTCAGCTCGTATCATTAGGAAAATATTGTGGTTTTTGAAAAATTGGAATTTTTTCACGTAAAGGTATCGATTTAAAATGTAACAAACCTTGTTTATTAAACACTCGCTCCGCTCGTGTCAAATAAACTCGTGAGTTAAATGCGGTTTTCCTCACTTGTTACATATTGCAGTACTTTCTCTTCCGTAAGTTCTGCATAATATTGTCTCTAGCGCGCTTATTCATTACTCAATTCTGAGACTTGAGACTTGCTATACAGATTAAAAAGGGTACAAAAAAGCGCAAATAAATCAGTCGAAAGTGTATTTACAAACAACATCTACACAAAACGTTCACTACGTCCCGTCCTAGATAAGATAAGGAGCTGGTGCCGCCAAATAGGGATTGGCTAAGTAGGGAGATGCCACCAAAGGAGCTGGGGCGAATGCAGGAGCGGCGATTCTAGCGACGGGGGCGGCGAGAGGTGCCGCTACGGAGGCTGCCACCAAAGGAGCAGGGGCGGCCACCAAGGGTGCCGCCAGGGCGTTATAGTTGCGCGCTATCACCTGAGAACTCTGAGCAGTCACCACAGCAGGGGCGAATGCGGGTGCCGCGAGCAGATCCGGCTTGGGGGCGGCCAGAACAGTAGACTGAGCTGAAATTGCCAGGATGAGGACCTAAACACAGAAACGATCATTTCGTTATTGTAAAAGTGGTAAATAATTTACAACTGTGCACACCACTTTGCCACATATACAGCGAGTCTAAGATACGACTCCTAAGCAACGAAATCTCACTACATCAGTGTAGTTCATTCATTTTTTTTATTACAAATATAACGGTGTTTCAAATACCCCTAAACAAATGATTAACTTCATAAATAAAATTAACTTCATAATAAATCGAAAGGATAATGGACCAGACCTGCAGAGTATGCCTTGGCATAATGTTCTTCGTATGTACCGGGTGTATTTGACAAGCACGCACCCTTTAAAAAAAATCGCAACCAAGATAACTACTGTAAGTATATAATCAATTGCCACTGCTTCCAACTCAACCCAACCCAGAACGATTTAACTTTAATTTTAATAACGTTATTAATAGTATTGATAAACAGTTTAACTTTAGCTTAACTGATGAAACTGGTTATAACAACTAACACTATTAAGACGTATACAACGGAACGCATAATATTAATATCACTTTAGTGCAACTTTGTTGTCCTCATATATTCCTGTACTGTGGAGCGAAGCATAAGTTGTACTCCGAGCTAAAATAAAAAGACTACAGAGATTGATCATTTGCGTTCTATTATTCTCTATTCTAGAGAAAATAATGTGCAAGCAAATAAGAGAATTTCTCAATATATGTTTACTGTCGTGAAAGCACGCTTGCAGATGTAATAAATGATATTTTTAAGACTTATGATTGTAATTACTGTTTTACTTGATTTTAGCAAAGCCTCTGACATGACAAATCATGAAATCCTCATTTCAATTTATCATCACATAGGATTCGTATAATTCTTTTCTAACATATCAAGAACTTAATAACACTTTCTTGTTGGCAATATTTTTAGATGAATTCATGAATGAATCACATGTCATATTTTTTGTTCATTTTTTCTGTTTTTTAAGTGACCGTGACATTGTTAAATTAAAGTTCTGTAAACCCTTTTTACAGTTATTGTTGAACGGATTATTTAGAAATGGAATATGGTGTAACATCAACAGTCGATTAGGACACAAACACCAAACTGCACACAAAGGAAACCACTAAGAACACGAAACCTCACTCCCCAATTAGCTTAAACATTAAAACATGAGTCCACTGAAAAAATATACTCATGTACAGCGCAATAGTTTCCATCAATCCCGTCGCATCTGATGTTGTAAATAAAATAATAATAATAATAATACTTCTGATCGAATATCCTCCCAGTTGTTATCGATATGCACATATCAGACTAGGAGGAAAATATTTTTGCCCTTCTTGGTCTTTACGTTATGGGTTTTCATTGTTTTTATTATTGATGCATTGGGAGTTTTTCAAAAATAATCTAATTGGAATTTGTTTTCTGAAATATATTTAATGAGTTTTATTCTGTCCGATCGTATAAATACGCCACTGAATCTAGTTGCCATAATCTCATTATAATATAAAAACAATATGTACCATGGCATGTACATGGCATTTTTTACCGTTTCATGATCGCGTTTCTAGTAGGTTTTACCATTATAAGAAGATACTAACATCCAAGTTCAAAAACCTTTACAAAAGAGAATTTTTGATTAAGTTTTTTGAATTACATATCCTTACGTACCTACTTTAAACTAATAAATTAATTAAATTGATTAAACTAAATTGGAACATACCTAAAAACGGTATGAATATAGTTAAAACATACTCTCACTCTCATACTTTTGATTACATCAATATACGTGACGTGACTCTGCATTGCATTTTCAGTGTCAGTAGGACTATAGAACTATTTAAAGCATATTTTTTTGTTACTAATATAACGACTTTTGTACACATCTAAACAGATGCTCTCACATGGCATTAATTCAGTTTGTGACCTTGCGACTAATAAATTAAACACGCGACTATTTAAATTCAGATCTTATAATTTCTAAAAATAGAGATCGAATTAAGGAAAATCTGGTGGAATCCGGTGTTTGTTAATATGCGCGACAGGAAATTCCGCCCGTTAGTATTACCGGAGCGACAACGTTTTCATAGCCAATCGTATTTTGTTTTTTTTAATTTTTAAGGAAATTAAATTAAATTAAATGCGAAATTTTTTGCAAGACCGACAAACTTAATTCTATGCTACAATTTAACTTTCTCCCAATTGCGTCGACTACTCAAGAGTTTTATAAATTAGTTTGGATACCGATGGCACCTCCTGACACTGTTATATTATTTTGCGGTGATGAGGAATGTAGGTAAATGGACTCAATGTCATGAGGTTAACAATTTTGTCCATATATATATATATATATATATATATATATATATATATATATATATATATATATATATATATATATATATATATATATATATATATATATATATATATATATATATATATATATATATATATATATATTCTCACGTATTGATTCACGGATGGAAAAATGTGATGACACTATATTCCGGGATATCATCCGTTCGCTCGTTGAACTCCGACTGGAATCCTGCATCCGACTGGAATCCTGCAAATCTTGCATCCGACTGGAATCCTGCAGACGTTTCGCCAAAATCTCACTTGGCATCTTCAATGCTCGCGCTCGAAGTGTTTTCGGAGCGCGAGCATTGAAGATGCCAAGTGAGATTTTGGCGAAACGTCTGCAGGATTCCAGTCGGATGCAAGATTTGCAGGATTCCAGTCGGATGCAGGATTCCAGTCGGAGTTCAACGAGCGAACGGATGATATCCCGGAATATAGTGTCATCATATATATATATATATATATATATATATATATATATATATATATATATATATATATATATATATATATATATATATATATATATATATATATATATATATATATATATATATATATATATATATATATAAGTACTTAGCTTAATTATTAATTTAGTTAAAAATAACCAACAACATGTAAAAAATCATTCAATGGCTTGAATATGAAAACTCCAATCATTTACTCACTTTACTTAATTCCTTGATTAATATTTGATATTTGTTTGACCTTTAGTATTTTTTTAGGTTATATTAATATTAAAATTAGGTCTTAGGTCCTTGGTCTTAGATTACGTGTAATACTTTCGAGGCATTTACCAAAACTACCAAACAAATGCTGTTTAGAACAAAAAAGCCAAGAAAAATCTGCATTTGATCCAGCAAATCTGAACAGGCACCAACAAACATATTTTCTACTTTTTGGTGTTGGTCAGGCAGAAAGCTTTTAAAATCCTCTTTTTTGGTAAAAAAAAGGTCTAGTTTGGGTTTTCAATGTATAAACAAAAATTACGGGTTTTTCGGCAGTCTGCTGAACAGTCTGCTGTTTCAAAAGTTAAGCGCAATTCTAAACTCAAATTCAAATAAGATTTTCCACTTCCCACTTCCAAGTACTTTCAACGACCATAAAAAGATTAATACGTTTTTGGGAAGCTTCTTCAAAACAATACAATAACAAAAATATCTGATGTTCATGAGTATATTCATGATATTAAAACAAATGCCACTCATTTTATTAATTCTTCTATAGCGGTAAATTATTTTTCTAATATAGTCCCCACTTACATGCCAGTGTTCCACCTTTGTCTATTACGCTCGGTGTCGTAGACTGGATATAACTCGAGATAACACCAATTACCGGATAATTATGGTAGTTTTCACTACAAAACAGGATCGCATTTTTGAAGAACTGCCGCCGAAACTCAGGAGGCCGAATTTAATTATTAAGGATAATGCACGATATCATTCTAAGTGAGTAAAATTGTCCAAAATTACAAAACAAACTTGCTGAATGCAATAGAGAAAATCATTTCAGGAGTGGGTCTTCATGAATGCCATAAAATTGATATGGGCTCAATGCAAAATATTGTTTAATAAAAGTATTGTTATTGATGCAAGGCACTATGATACTACAGTAATATCTGTTTGGAAATTAGCCCTCCAGAAGTTGTCAAAGAAAATTGGAACAGTTTTATAACACATACAAAAAAGATGTTTCATCCTAAATAAAAACTTTGGTTTACTTGTATTTTAACTCTTTGCAAATTAAATTTTGTACGGGATGATTTTTTTTTTAATTTTCCGATTGTTCTGGTATTGTTTTAATTTTTATTGCATGGACGAAGTTAAGACTAGGTAAATTAATAGATGCCAAGTAATCGTTAGTGACGGCTATCTTGCATTGATCGGATGGACGTTTAAGGTCGAACAACATTAGTTTGAATACTATAATATATCACGGTCTATGAAACAAAAAATAAAATAAAACAAAATTGTAAATATTAAACCCAGTAAAAAAGTAAAGACTGTAATTCGATTATAATCAGTAGCGTATCGTAATAATAAAAATAATATATATGTACATATAATCAAATACTTACGAACTTGAACATTTTGATTTGTTTATTGTTGGGTTTTCGCGAATGGAACTAATCAACAATAACATACTCGTACGGTATAATCAATTTATAGAAAACGATTCGGAGCCCCACCCCGTAATTGTAGGTCACTTTTGAAATCTAGATAGACGATTATGCAGACGATACTCGCGATTGGTATTCAAAACGGCGGTCCGGATTTCGAAGCGACTATCGCAACGTACGGCAAATTTTTGGACAGTCTTTTAAGGATTTTGTCCAATTTGGCAGTGCGGACCAAACGAATGCGCAATTTCAATTTTTTTTATCTCAATCAAGTCAGTCTAATAGCAATTTACAAAGGCATGTCCTGATATAGAAAACTAACAGAAATTATATAATTGATACTAAAGGGAGAAAATGATCACAGATTTGGTTAGTTTTGGTCAGTTTTGCTTCAAAAATGCACTACTAAATACTACCAAAGTAATCTGTGAATGTAGCGGAAACAATAGAAAACTATTGAACTGAGGTGGCTTTTACTTTATGAAAATTCATTTAATACAATTAAATTCGAAGGCGTAATAACTGTCAAAAAGTAACCAAAACTGAGAACCAACAAGAAGCAACATAAGCTCAATTCCAAGATCATGCAAAATGGTTGAAAAAAGAACGAAAACGTCAGTACAAGAAAACAGATGTACATTGGATTTGTGTATGTATTTGTGAATTATCTCGTTCAATTAATCCCATAGAATTTGATTTATTACTATTAAAATCCGAACTGACATATCAAACATTATTCACAAAAGGTATATATGTCAAAACACCAAGTTGGACAATTTAAGAAAATTCAAAAACCCCGGGTTTCAACTTACTCCAATAAAGAGATAAAATATTTATGGCATGATTGCTAGCATCATAAACAAACACGTATTAGAACTAAACAATGTAAGAAATTTGAATAAATAAATTTATAAAACAAAAAGTGAACTAAGATTCGATCCATAAAGTTTAAGTTAAAAACGTTACTCTTAAAATGCCATCAAAAAAACAAAGAAATATCAAAATATTTAAAAGGAGTTGGCTATGACATCACGATGTTCTTTTTTGACGCATTAAGGTATAAATAATAAATAGACTTTGACACTTCTGTTTGTTTATGTTATTTTTAATTTGTCATAATATAAGATAAATTAAAAACTTACATTATTTTTGTCCTAAAAATGATATCTGAATAAAAATATAGGGTCTTCCATCTGAAAATCTTGAGATTTTGTTAATTGAATTCGCGAAAACGACACCACCTATTTGGGACACCCTGTATAAGTTGAGGCGCATCTGTCAAGCTGATTGAGTAGTTCATCATCTCCTTAGTATGTGGTTAAACTTTCGTTGCAATACCGGCATCAGTAACGTCGTAACACAATTTTGTATGGGGAAATCAAACTGTGAAAAAAAAAAACACATAACCTCTATTTCTGCCTAAATTATGCTGTATAGGAATTTCTTCAGAATTGTTACAAATGCTGACTTTTACTTTAAATAGATTAAATTAAGATATGGGTCAAGTGTGGTTAAATATTTTTATTTTTAAATGGGATGAAACATTTGGCACTCCTTGGGCTACTGAAAGTTAAGCTCCGCCTGGAATGGTGCGAACTCAGGTTACAGTTAAGGACCAAATGGAGGTTTTAAAACGATTTTCAGCTTGCTGAAAATTAATTCCACAAAACTCCTCGGTTCATGGATGCTTAAAGAGCGAAAAGGAAACATCGCAACCAACTTCTTTCTAAATATAAAAAATTCAAAAATTTGATAACTAGAAAGTTATTTACTTTTGCGGTACGAAGAGAAAAAAGGCTATATTGAGTTCACTAATGGCAAAGAGTCTTCAAAAAAATGAGCCGAACTCTCGATCATTTCAATATTTACAAATGATCAAAGATGCGACACCTTAGATATCTTCCAATCAGTGAAACCTTACAGTTCAAAGCGTTCAAATAAATAATTCGCGTTGGCATTGGTAGGTAATGATCACGTATTGGGCTCTACCCCAATTAAACTCCTATGCTTCAGGAAATGATTGAATGTCCCTTGAGATGCTCAGGCTGTGCGGTCCAACGATCTTGCCCCTGTTACACACCTTTTAAATTCGTTCATTAAGAAAGGAGTATTTCCTGCGCTATGGAGAGCTCCAATACCTTTATATGTATCTGATCTTAGACCCATTAGCTTATTGTCAGCTCTTTCAAAAGTGTTTCAAAAGTTAAGTTAAAGTTCTCGACGATATTCTGCTAACTGCCGATAAGGAAGAATCGACAGGTTTAGCATTACTGGACTTGAATAAGGCTTATGGATTTAAACCCAAAACAATTAGATTAATTCGTAGTTCTTTTGAAAAAAGATCACAAATAGTAAAGATTGATAACACGAGGTAGGGGGTATTAGTGTGGATACAAGTGTTATCTTCACTTCGGATTACATTGAGCAGTGTAACCTACATCAGTACCAGTATGACACCCAATTATATGCAAGTTTCCCAAGATGTGAGGCTGCTGAAAATTTAAAGAAATTGAACAAAAGTCAATGAAAGATTGTAATATACTCACATAATAACGGTTTAAGGTTAAACAACTCGACAATTATTTATTTCGGATTTTCTAAAGGTTATGCCAGAAAGCTGCTTGACATTTCAGCCAATAATGCTAAAATACCGGTTGTTTCCGAATGCAAGAGCTTGAGTGTTATTTTTGATAACAAATGAAGGTTCAAGACTCATGTTTCTAAAATAATATCAAAAGGTCATTGTAATTAAGGAAATTATACAACATCAAACATGTTACAACAGAAAGATAAAAAAATCATTGTCTGAAGCGTTGGTCTTGTGTAATACAAACCATTGCAACTTTGTATTTGGTCCCTGTTTGGATTTGAGCACTACCCAAACCAAACTACAGAAGGTGCAAAACTCATGTAGTGTTACCTAGCCTCATTTTTACACAATATGGTCCAAACTGAATACCCGGAATATTTGATGGAAAAAATTACAAGCCAGGATTTGCTTATCTGTCTGCAAAGTTGCTAAATCGATACCCCTAGATAAGCCTGCCCCGAAACTAGTCTAGAGTGACTTTTAAACAAAATTTTAAAAAGAAACCGTTATTATAAATTATATTGTATATTATATATATAGTTGCTTTAATTATTGTTCTACTATTTTGTTTTTTTTTGCCAACTTCAACAGTATTATCCTTTTCCCACGTCTATTGTTATTGTTATTATATTGTTATTGTTAGCTCATTTACTCATTTATTTATAATATTTGTTTCAAATTTTGCCGTATTGTAGTCTGATTTATGATTTTTTTTACATGCTTGTTAAGTTAACAGTTCAGCTGCCCTTCGCCGAATGAAAAATAAAAGCGTTTTTATTTATTTATTTAAAAAGTCTATTTACATGGGCCACAAAATTCCTCGATTACAAATAGTACGGTACTCCGACGAAAGGCGAAGCGACGTAGGAAACCCTCAGGGGCGCCACCGGAGCAGCTACCAAGGGCTGATTCTTAACGGCCGCCTTAGTTAGTTGAGGCTGGGATCTGGGAGCGACATTTTGAGTCAACGGTCGTTCCCTCTGGAGTTTTTCCGTGTCTCTTGAAATACTCCTTACCCTCGCTGCTTCGATTTCAATCGTATCGTCCGGATTCGGAATTGCGGCCGGACTTACGGGAGCCACTGGCGCGACCGGAGCGCCCTGCACAAATCTAGTTACCTGCGATATAGAAACCGGCGCCCGAGCAACGACTGGAGCAACTGGAGTGATCAAAGGTGCCGCCAGAGCGTTGTAGTTGCGAGCAAAGTATTGAGAGCTGCGTGAAGTTACGTAGGTCGGGGCTAGGGACGCGACGGGAGCCACTGGAACCGTTGGTGCTAGAGGAGCGACGGGAGCCACTGGAGCACCCGAAATCAGCTCTACATCAGCCGCCCCGATGCAGGATAGAGCCGTTGCGACAATAACCAGCTGAAAGTTTTTAAGTTTGGCTGAGAAAAGTTAATACGCCACGAGTTATCGAAGATGGAATAGAGTCAGCCGAATTAATATTCTTATGATTATTTAGCAATTTCAAATTTCAACGAAAGACTTTTTTGCCAAGAGTATCTTTTATAACACTAATGATTACTTGGAGCTACCGAGTCGTACAACGATATAATGAACTCTCGTATTTTGTGTACTTTTATTGGATTTCTCTATTATCTAATAGTTATTTGGTTACTACTGTTTTATTGTATCAATATTTTATCTGAATGGTTAATAAAATCGTATTCTATTTTTTTTTTTTGGCAAAGGTAGATATTGCAAAATAATATTATTAGTACTTAAGTGACTTTCCGCAAATAAATGATCACCCTAGCTTAATTCAAGGCCAGTTTTTTGTAAACCTTAATTTTCTGCTAAGAGAAACATCACAAAATTCCGATTTTGAAATTTTCAAACATTTATGTTACATTACATTATAATTGATTGATTTGTATCTTGTTATATTATGTTGATTTTAAATTGAATTTAAGTTAAGTTAAATGGAGAAGTTCCTAATTTCGGATACTATGTAATGACGAAAAATGCTCAAAATCAAGGGAACAATTAGGATTTATCATAATATTAGTGGCATTCCTTTTAAAAATATCTAAAGTCTAACAGTACTATAAATATAATATATACGTAGGTCAAATACTTTTCGTATTTAACTTTTCTTTCTTCGTATCGTACTTATTGAAATAATGTATAGGAATCGTGTACAGTTCAATGAAGTTCAAAGTCCAACGTTTGCGGCACTTTTTATTGAAAGAGCGATTTGACAAAAACACGACATGTGACGTAGAAGTGGTAAATCTGACGACATTGCTGGTAGAATATTGAGTTTAATCGTTTCAGCTTCGGAAGTTTTGGAGATATTTCGCGTCACTGCTTTTTTTAAAAACCCGGTATATTGTTACCCTTAGAACGTGTTTCGTTAAAATTGTTGAATTCATCCTCATTTTTTTCATGTCCATAACGAAATATAAAATTTTGACATCGAGTATAAGCGGAAAAACGCACTTATTTTAACATTTGCTTAACAATACCCCGAATAAAAGACAATCGAAATACTTACAAAGCGGTTCATTTTGCTTTGTGCTCGCCGGATGTGATCGCGCAAACTGTAGATGATGTTGATGCTGCCTAGCGGAATGCATTGTTTATTTATATAAACCGAAAAACCCCACTAAAAAAAGACCTTATTCGGCTCTAGGACAAAAAATTTGGTAATAACTGTCAGATTTTGCTCATTGGTATGCACGCGGGAGGAAAACTTTGACATGGTGGCATAGAATACCGCTACGAACGGTCAACGCATTACGTAAAGGACGAGAATCGCTACAGAGGTTGTGTACCCGCTAACAATGTTACGAAATTTTAATTGATACGGCGCTGAACTTTTTTCGTATGCGGTTCACGCCAAGTGCGCAATAGATTTTTTTTGGAAATTACAGTTGGTGATAAAAAAAATCGCGTTTTAAATTAATCGCTGGATATATTGCAAACCAACCTTCATCAACTATATTTTTTCATATGCCTATGTAAAAAATGTCAAAATGATAGCTAAATAGATACTTACTACTGTTAATGTTTATTCGTTAAGCAAATTTATGTAAAAAGTCAAATTTTAGTTTTTTTTCCATCCTTCCATCCTTGATTTACCGGTCACTCTGCGCCAAAAGTCCACAAAGGACTATGCTTTTAAACATAGTATCGTATATAAATTTTTTCCTTTCTTTAGAAAGATGTATCGACCAGAGAATAAGGTTGAGACATCCCATGACTCTTTTTCTCTTCGGTATTTGGTCTTCTATTTCCTTTCTTGTTCGTCCACTCTTATCCATCTTAGTTCCAGATCCTGTTCCTCTCCCAGCCCCCATCTTGTATATTCATCAAATAGCTTCATTGTCATAAACTCTAGGTCTCCTTTATCCTTGACAACTACAACTTGATAATACTCAAAATGTAGGGTGTAAAGATTGGTGTTATTTGATAATTCAATTCACATTCTGCTGCATGAATTTCTCCATTTTCTTAAAGCTTCATTCAAACAAAACCTTGAACAGTGTCGGTGAGAGACAGCATCCTTGTCGAAGGTCTTCTGAGATTTAAAAGTTTTCCGATATGTTCTTTCCTATTTAATTCGAAATGTGGCTTGTCCATAGTGCCTGCCATAGTTTTTGGATGAGGACTGTATCGTACGCATTTGTTAGACCGACAAACAAGAGGTGAACTTCTCTGTTTCTTGCCACCTTGTTCTCATGCAACTGCACCAGCCTAAATATGTGATCCAAGCGTGATCGGCCTGCTCTGAAGCCTGCTTACTCCTCGATTTCGTTATGACCGAAATCCTGGTCTACAATGCTTTTAATTTTTTTTTAACTTCCCATAGACCCGATTCATTGTGCCAGTGACCGAAATACACCGGTGCGTGGCACACTCGTCTCGCTTTCCCTTCTTGTGGATGGGTGTTATCCAGGCCTCCTTCCAAATTGCAGGTTTAAAATAAAAATGGTATTTAAAGTATTTAACTTTTTGTTCTACTTCCCGAGACAAGTGACCACCCAGTGCTTTGCTTAACCAGAATAGGTTATTTATCATACTGTGGCGGATCTCTTTAACGTCAGTAATTTATTCAAATGGTGGAATTTACCCGAGACTTTATGAATATTCCATATTGTTTATCTAACAGGTTGTTTTTGTTGTCACTAGTTGGGGTCCACCTTAGAAAATGTGCTAGGTCATTGCCAAATTAAAAATCAGTCTAGCAATTTTGTCGAAATTTATGGGCTGATGTTCCATATAAAAACAGCATCCGGGAATTTTCTGGTCAGTTGTAGATTCTTCTGTAATATTGTGCATAGTGCAGGTAGGAATATGTTTAAATCGGTACGTATGAGTTTAAATGTTTTGTTTATTTTTCTTTAGTGTTTACGAGACGATAGGATTATTTGGTTTATATTTCTAAAATAAAATCAGTCTAAAAACGAAAGTGAAAACAATTATTACATTATTGAATAATCCATATATATGCATAATCCATTTACACAACTCATATGGCTGAATTTTTTATGTAGTTTGTCCTTGGCAGTGACAAACGTTTCGAGGTGGCACATAAAAATTAATTTTAAACAATAACTCGGGGCAATTTTGTATATCGATCATTCTCAAGAGAAACAAAATGTAACTTTTATCTGGTCTGTCTGCAAGCCCAATAAGAAAGTATTTTTAATAATTTTTTTTATACGAACAACGAATGTCAAGTCTACTGAGTCCACTAAAGTTGCTTGATGGGTTATTATCGTGAAACTTTTGTCATTTTCGAAATACAAACCCCAATATTTTTATGGCCTTTATACATATGTTATTAAGCTCGCCAAACAGCAATTCTTGGTTGAACGTAATTAGACTGCAGGTATATAAAATTACCCAGAAAATGGTCTAATTGTTAAAAATTGACAAAAATTACAAAACAAGCTTGCCATCTGCTAACGAAGAAATGATTGCTGAAAAGTCATTTCACACTTAATGTGATAGAATTGGTGTAGGGACAGTGCAAAATATTTTTTAATAAAAATATTATAAGTGAGGTAAGGAACATCTGTTTGGAAGGCGGCTCTCCAGACAGTTGTATAACACATACAGAAAATATAATAAAAAAATACTATAAAACTTGTAAGGTGTTTCATGAAGGTGTTTCATCGTAAATACAAACTTACTACATATTTTGTACTGCATAATTTATTTTTTAAAATTTTCCGATTTTTGGTATTTAATTTTTATTGCATGGACAAACATAAGTAAACTATTTTTCCAAGTGAATTGAACTACTTAAATATTTGCATATCATTAAGGGATACCGTGATCTATTATTACATAGAAAATACACAAATCCATTTCTGAGTATCGGCGTACTGGTTAAATTAATAAATCCCAAGTACCACTGATTCTGTCTCTCTTACTCCCCAGTAATATAATCGCGATCGTTAGAGACGGCTGTCTTGCTTGCTTGCTGTCTTATCAGATAAACATTTAGGGCGCAACAACATCTATTGGAGTATAAACGGAAGTGAGACGAACAATGTATTTATTTCTGTCGTAGCGACTATAGTTACGAATCTTTTGGATTCCTCCAGCTTGTGGAAGTTTCTTTTCACAATTTGCTAGTTCTCAATTAATGAGAATAAAATTTTGAGCTCAATCATAACAAGTTGATCCCTGACAAATTGACCAACAAACAAAAATTCCCATATTTAAATTTAACGACGCATTTCAGGTGGTCCTCGTTTCGTTTGTCGCGTTGGCTGCTGCGGCACCGGCACCATCTAAGACCAAGCGTTCCTACGGATACCACGAAGCTTACAGTGCACCCCATGTGGTCGGACATTACAACACGTACGCTGACGTGTCGTACGCCCACGTGCCGGTGGTTAAGCACGTGCCAACCACCGTGGTCAAGCAAGTGACGGTTCCAGTGGTGAAAACCGTCGACGTGCCAGTAGTCAACAGTGTTGCCGTACCGGTCGTTAAGTACCATACGGACCTGCATTACGATTCTCCGTCGTATTATAGCGGCAGTTACTACGGCGGTGGCTACGGACATGGCTACGGTTATGGAGGTTATGGTTACGGCGGATACGGCCATAGTGGCTACAGCAGCTACTGGTAGTTTATGTAGATGCCAAATGTAAATAATAAACGAATATTATAAGCGATTTTTCATTGTTCTTATTTCATATTTTTCCCAAATTCAAATTTCTTTATTCGTGTACGGTTGTTCCAAATTCGACCGTTAAAGACGCAAAGTTGCGACATTTCTGTGAATAATTTAAAACCGAAAGTTATTAAGTTTTAAACACGAAGTATATTTCATATTAAAGGCTTGACTTGGTTATACGAGAACTCTTTTATAGAGCATATTCATCAAACAAATTAATGATTGAATTTGTAAAAATTCGAACCATATCATCAATATCATATTGACTCATGCAACGAAGGCTATAGTAACTCATGCATAGTAAAGTGATGAAAAAACAGTTTTTTGGGGTTCTTTATTAAAGACGAAGAAAGTCTACAAGACTCAACTTGTCTAATAGAAAAAATATTATTGCATAGTAATAAAGCAAATACCTTAAAAATTGAACTGAGATGGCTTTTACTTGATGAAAATCCATTTAACAAAATAAATAAGAACTAAAAGTTCAGATTTCACGAAATTATATATTATGACATGACAATTGTTTCGACAACACCGTGTCTTTATCAAATGTAATATTGCCGAACTACCTGCTACTATATATACCGAAAAATGACAATAAAACCTTAATTAATGTGAGAATTTAAGTTTAACAATGGAGAGGTATTGAAATCTAATTGGTCGTTAATATTATTTATTATTATTATATAATTTCAATATATCATTTTGCTAATCTCCATGGCTTCCAATAAATTTAATTTTCTAGTTTTTGTGGCTGTATGTAAAATATCAAAATTGTCTTCAGAAATGTGTGTTTCTGTGTTTACGTGTGTAGCATAATTAGAATCTAAACTATTGTTTTTCAACGCTCTTTTATGTTCGTTAATGCGTTTCTTGAAGGATCTACCTGTTTTCCTGTTTTTTCCACTTAACTATTACGAAAACGCAAGACAAACTAGATTTTTCCATTTACCATAAACCTACACACACAGACACAATCATACATAACAGCTCAAATCACCCAAAACACACAAAATGACTGCATTTAACTCTTTCATACACAGACTTCTTAATACGCCACTCTCAACAGAAAATTACAACAAAGAATTTAATATCATTAAACAAATTGCATTGAACAACGGCTATAATCCATATATTATCGATGAGTTAATTTAAAATGTCAAGTTGAATGAAACGCTTGTGCCAACAATGATATATTACAAAACCATATCAAAATTTTCTCCACATCTATCCAGTAAGAATTGTTCCTATGCATGGTTGCTGGGCGTAAGACAATGCAAATCCTCTGTTTCCGGTATCATTCACTTCGTTGGAATTCGTTACAACGGTCAACACAAATGGCTTAGAGTTACCTGGAAGGAAAGACATGGATATATTGTTATAGTTATTTTTGCATGTTGGTTAGGCTACAATAAAAAAGCGCGAAATACACTTTCTTCAAATAAACTTTTTCCGTTTCCTGTTCTATAATAATCAATTGCTACCTAATCTAGCGTACGAAAAGTGGCACTTTAAGCTGGTAACTTATAACGTATGTTTGCGTGTCATAGAAAAAGTTTGAATACAAAAGTTGCATGCGATGAACCTTTTTGAATTTATTGACGATTTTTGTCAATTCCGCGACAATATTAATTTTGTTTTAAATAATGAAAGTGGTCTAAATAGGTTAATTATATCGCGAATTTGTAGTAATGCAAAAAGTTCTATGATCTTTGTCCCACAAGAAGAAAAGAAGTCCAGTGGCTTTAAATCCGGGCTTCTTGCCGGTCAGATGATATCAGGTGATGAAGGGTGTTAAATTTCACATTGTTGGGCACTTGGAAATCCACGACCAACTCAGGAACCCCATTTTCAAGATAGATTTTCGGTGAATATTTCGTGGCACATTATTGATGACTGGTAGATTGCAACGAAATTTAGTGATTTCTTGGAAAGCAAGGTAGCCTGATCTTGATCTCTTGGATTACTTTTTATGAGAAAAGAAATGTTCCTCTTAATGTGGATTCGCACCTCCTCAATTTGGTCTACAGAATCTCTTAATCAAAATTATGGAATCCGGTAGATTGGAAGTAGTTCCCTGACTAGCAACGTCACCTGACTGAAAACTTTGGTTTATACAGAAGTATTGAAAACAGAGAGAAACGGGTAGCTAGAATTATGGATGCCGCAGAAACTATTCGTGCTGATCCGGAGACTGTTAGCACAACTAGCATTTTAATTCGTAAAAGGGGCAAACCAGGTGTAGTGAACATTTTAAGCAACTATTTCCATAAAATAAAATATAAATAAATAAAAAATATTAAAATAAAAAATTAAAGAGTCTCTATTAAATTGTCTTTAAAATCCGGGCAAATGTTCATTTGACATTTTAAACTTTAAATCACCCAAACAACACTCCCAAGCTATGACAGTCATGTCATTGTACACCCTGTATACAAATAAAATAATAAACGTTACTTGATAAAGTGACAAATCCGTTTCCGCAGAATCTGTCTGTGTTGAACAACGTTCCATTCGGGAATATCGGAGCAGGTACTATCACAAAGTCGGTGGTACAGTTGGTGCCGGTTTGAGAAGAAGCTGCCCCTATGGTTCCATCCACCACCGCCGTGAATGTATCGTTTGATACGGTGAAGGAGTATATATCGCTGGTTTGTGACCACTGAATGCTACAGTAACCTGCAAAAATATCATGCATTCTATTTATTATTATAATATTTATTATTAATATTATTATTATTATTATTATTATTATTATTATTATTATTATTATTATTAATATTATTATCTTTAGTAACAAATTTGGTAAGATTTCTCTCTACACCGAACTTTTTGTTACATTGTACGGACCATAACGTTATCCCCAATTTTCTTAAAATATCCCATCACGTCAAAACCTCATCCGCTGATAAAATTCTTCGAAAATCTAGTTTCGCTTTACTTCGAGAAAGAATTCCTCACACTCTTAAGAAAATAGACCAATCAATAAGGCTCTTCTGTCTCTACACCTTGAAATTTCTTCCATCTTGTCCCCATCAGAGTTCGAGACTCTTTCAAACATGATTCATGACAAAGCTTTAATTCTTCGTTTATCTACTACCCAAAATCACATCCAGAATTTTGAAAAACTAACGTCAACAGTAGGAGAACCACCAAACTTTTATCAACTACCAAATACTGCAATAAATGTATCGTCGCACGACTCAGTTTCAGTGAAGCTCTGAAGAAGGCAACAGGATGATTGGCGAAACGTCAGCAAGTTTGACTCAGCAAAAACTGAAACAGGAGGAATCCAGAAGTTTTGTAAAAAGTATATTCTATCTATATATTCTAAACAACGGTTTTGGGTGGTTGCCGCTTTCCCACAAATAATCAATGACGTAGTGCTTATTTTTTGATTGCTCTCGCAAATGCTCTATAGGATTGAAGATGCAATAATACAGTGGAAATCGTAATGCTTTACCGGATGCCCAGTTTTACGGGGTACCCCGTTTATTAATTACGTTAGAGCAATAAACCAAATTCTTTAATCGGTCAAAATGTATAATTTTTTGATAATACGATTAAGTTTTTAAAGATCATCTCATTTATCTCATAATATATAAAACTCTATGGGTTTTTAATTTTAATCTAAATAAATTAAATGTGTTTGGATCTTTATAGAATATGCCTACATTTTTAATTTTCTAAAAGTACTGTTTATGTCTGTAAAGAACTTTTTGGGAAAGTATACAGGGTGGCTCAAAAACCGTGACGAATAAAACATAAATTTGTTTAAACGGAACAGAATATTTTAAATTTTTTTTAAATTCTTCAAGTTGATATTAACAATTTTTCCAATATTTTAATTTTTCTGAGAAAAAAGATCATATTTCGATCATTTTAAATTGAAAAATCTCGATTTACTTAAATGGTACGCCATATATGTTATTATTTTTTCTGAAACATATTACAGAAACCTACAAATTCAGGACATATTTTAATTTTTTATACGTTTATTAATTAATATTATGTGATTCATAATATACTGGGCGACGCGAAAAAATACGTTGTTCTCAGTAACAGTTTAGGCGACGGAGTACCCCAAAAGTCGTATACCAACTTGACAATATATTCACTGTTGGATGGAACGGTTTAAATCTAATTGTAGTATTGAATATGAAAAACGGAAAGTGGTATACGGAAATCCTACCAGTTAGAAAAAAGAATTTTTTTTAGCCGCCTTGTATACCTTAAAATAATTTTGAAGTCAGCAGCCTTTACTCTGTCTTTCTCTCACCACGTACAAGTAGCAAAACTCAAATAGAAATTCGCTAGACATGCCCTGAGACAAAAAGGTGAAAGACAGAATCAGATAATTATGAACTGGACACCGTGGAATTACAAACGGAAAAGAGGAAGACCGCAGATGCGATGGCCAGAGAAATTACAGACGTTGGATCAAGATCGATGAAAAGCACCCACGATAGAAGCCTATCTGTAGAGGCAGATGTTCAGGGTTGATTAGATAAATAAATAGACATTACCTGGTTGCATTTGGATGCACACTCCGTAGTTTAGGTTCGCCAACTGCCTTGTTCCGTTGGTTATACCAGTACTGCCGTAATTAAAGCTTCTAACTGTACCAGATGTGGCAGTGTAGTACTGTAGGCATCCAGTTGGGGCTGTAAAAAATATGAAATCAATCATCGTATGTTACGTGTTGCATACTATACATTTTTTGCGGTTCTTACAAATGGAGCGAGGTTTGTGGGTTTTAAATATCTCCCCAAAGTATCCATTCGCATCTTTTAGTGCTTATGAAAATTACCGCCCAGACTTTAGTTGATTTTAACAAAACCTTTGACAAGAAAAATCATGAAAGCTCATTAACTGGAAAGGATGGAAAGATATAACAAAGGCATAATGAAAGTGTTTAGGTGATACAGAGTGTTTTCGGAGGGAAGTGCATGCGATGCATGAAAGTATTCATTACAACATAAATTAAAAGGAAATAGTGTTTCGAGCTCTAGAAGGCGTAGAAAGTCCATGGCCTGGTTAACTTTGTTTGTCTATTCTTTTCTGTCTTGTGCTTTCTTCGCCCATCCAACTCACCTTAGACCTCCTCCTCACTCCAATTTTTAGATTAGATGGGAAAAAAAATAGATTTGGCCTCAAAATCTAGGAGGGACGCGCTGTTAAATGGCAATGACATCAAGTCATCACTATTAAAATACAGGGTGGTCCATTTAAGATGCTCCTTGTACCTTATATCAATAAGAACGAAACTGAGGAAAAAACGTAAAATATAAAAAGTGTTTGCCCCTGGGCGTATATTTTATTTATATTATTTTTATGAATACATTAAGCTGTGGAAATCATTGACTGAAAGAAGCTTCCTATTGGACTTTTTAAACTATCTTACGGATACTGTTTTTATGCTTGGATTGAGAAAATTATAATATAGCCTCGGGGATAGTTCAAAAATTAACCTCAGCATCTTTTCTTGCTGGACGAGCAGCTTATTTACCTTTCCAGGGACAGTTGCAGTTGATTAAGGCCACCTTCAGGTTCCACGCTCTTCCAACGACAGACGGCCCGGTTATAACCGACACCGTGATAGAGCTGTTGCCGAAGAAATCTACGTAGACGTGTTGCCCGCTGTTCTCGCCACAGATTACGGGAACTATGGACGCGCCGCCAGTTATTACTAGAGCGTCCGTGACGCAGGTACCGTTTTCGTTCGGCTGGGCGAGCTGTAGCGTCAAGAAGTCGATTCGAGCCTGAAAAATGGTTACGTGCGATAAACGTGCTGGATAATTAATCCCTATCTTAAAGTTAAGGCAATGGAGCTGAATTATGGTGCTAATAAATAAATTTAAATATATTTGCCACCGTTAAAGGACAAATAATTGCAGGTATTAACTATTTGCAAATCATTGCATCTTGGTTATTTTCGCATTTGGCATTCCTTTTTACCAACGCCCCTATTACGCAAAATCTCAACATTTTTTCATCTTAATTGCTTGCTTGTCTTGTGCCTTCCCCATTATCAGCAGATGAAAGCCTTCGATTGTTTCCATCTAAAACCAATTAACCAAGAAGGTCCCTTTCGAGATTCGACCTAACATACGTTTTACCACTGAATCATTCTGTTTACGGAAAACCTACGCACACAGACCGATACCTTAATGCATGGTCACATCACCATCCGGCCCAAAAATTATCGATTATCAACCGTCTGGTTTACAGAGTCGCAAAACCATCTCAACCCGGGTCACTGCCCCCAGAATTGAAACACATCACAAAATACACTTCACTACAACCTTCCAAAAACAATGAGCACCAAGCAACCCCACACTTGGCACTATAGTCCTTTCTTGCAATCAAAATATCACTGACCACAAAAGTTCAGCATTCCATGCATTTGTGAAATTAAAGATGCCGTCAACAAAATTATCATGACCTTCTTGGTTTTTGAGATGCAGGGTGAAATAACAAATGTTGGATTTTGAGACCACTACCTTACCTCCCATGTCTTATGATTTATTAAAGAGTTTAAAAAACGTTCAAATAGGATTAATTTTTGTTTTTTGTTTCGTAGAATCCAGTGGCGCAGTTTTGGTTAGTTTCTTACTTGCTCTAGTCGTTTTTTAATAATAAAGCAAATATACACATTTTTTAATCGAACACCGTATATATTATTTTTTACGTTGTTGGACATCATTAAAGATTTTTAAAAATATATATTAGAATGAGGTCGATTCGAAAATTGAAAATTGAAAATAATATACTGATCGTTCCATTTAAAAATGTATATGTATATATAACTATAAAACGGTTAAAGCAAGTAAAAAAAATACTTTACTGAATTATACGGAAAAATCCTATAAGAACGTTTATTAAACTCTTCGATTTCACCCCGTATCTCAAAAACCAAGAGGACCAGCATAATTTTGTTGACGGTCGTCTTCAATTTTCCAAAAAAAGTTGCTGAGAGTCGAGTAAACTGCAAACTTATATCATAAAAAATAACCGAGATACCCCATAATGGTTATTATTTGGGTCGTAGGAATATAATTTTGTATGAAGTAAAACTCAAAACTTAACATATGCAATTTTTTTAAAACTAGTTTATTAACAGAGCACAATTTCTGAAAGGCATCAACCTGCCCTGCCATCAACATTCGTAGTAGATGATACTATTTTTAACCCGCCAGCAAATAGCAAGGAAAAACAAACAGCTCTGCGACATCGTTGAAAGGCATCGCGAATAGTAAACGACCAAGATTAGAACCTTGCGGCACCCCTGACGTGGCATAAAAGACCTCTGAAGCGGCAAGTCTAGCAATTAAACCAAAGACCTATTGAAACCTTTATTAAACAGCTTTATGACCATGATGGTATATCAAATCTGTCAAAGGCATTGTCATATCTGTTTAAATTATATCCATTTCAATCGTTTTATTTAATTAATTTAATGAATAGCAATGTCATTTTGAAAGGCGTTTTGCGTTTTTAAAGAAATCAGTGTACCAGATTCATATAAATCAACTACTCACTTGGCACGCCCCGTCTGTATTGAGGATAGTGAATGTACACGTTGAACTACCGGCGTAAGTGCTAGGAAATCCGGGACTTACGAAGTAGGTGTTGTTGACGCCAGAGGATTCACCGCAATTTCTTTGAACTGCAACATAATGGATGGATAGACAGAGAGATAGAACCTTGTTGACTACTTTTTGCTTAAAAAACAATACAATTGCAGCAAGTCATGTTGTACAGATTAAAATATTTAAAACGTAAAATGACTATTACACATTAAGAGATAATTTTGTATTACTCTATGCCTGAACATTTGACGGTAGTTTATTATACAATCCCATATTCAACAAATTCTTTTGTCATTTGGTATAGTTTTTTATTGCGAAGGAAGTCGCTTTTTCGTGTAGGATAATCATGAGCGTGTCTATGTCTCTGTGTACTTCTAGCATTTGATTTGAAATCAAGATTTGAACATTTTACTGCATTCGGCGGAAAACGAAATAGTTAGTACGAGGATTTTCGGACAAGCTGTAAATAAACATCAAACCGCAAATAGTTTTCCTTTACATAGAAAAAGCACCAAGAGTTTCGGGAAGGCCAAGAAAAAAACATGGAAAAAGCAAATAATGACAGGAATTAAAAAAAATGTATGTTTGTTTCACTGTTTGAATATTCAAAATTTTCGGAATTGGAACCAGGACAAGGAATTTCGTTTTATTCATACTCGTGGCCAATATAATCAAGAAATCAATCTTACGATGGGAATTTGCAGACATCATATTATTGGGCAATTTTTTATGGAACTACAACCTCACGGTAACAACCTATTTGGACTTATCAAAATCAAACTGAAGCGCCACTAGAAGAAGTTCGCGGAGATCAGTATATCTGCTACCAGATACATAGTCGACCCGCTCATAATTCCCGTATCGTTATGAAGTATTTGGGACATTCCTGTTAAACAACTCATCTTATAGAAGAATAGCTTTCGCGCTATCTCCTCGACTAGCTTCCAACTAGGTATACTTACAGAGACAACATATCCCTGCTCCGTTTGCACAAGTAACTGAACCAACTCCATCCAAAAACTCGCATTGTCTTCTGGTGTAGCAGGTACCATCGAAAGTGTTGCCACTGTTGCATTCTCCGTTTAAAAACCGGACCAGTCCCACTCCGAAGAAGGGAAAAACTGTCACATAATAAGTTAAGTTGGATTTGCTAATAACTTTTGAAATCGCGAAGGACTTACAGAAAAATTGTTTTCCATCCCTCTCTAAAGCTTGTGCGGACGTTTCAAGGGCGTTTTGTTCGGAGCTGGTACCGAACGGAAGACATATTGACGCACTTACGAAAAGGGACAGTCGTATCAGATTCATAGCAGGAGTACCAATGACCGCGTACGGAGAAATAAACGCAATTAACACCTAAAATTCGGTCCGATTCCAAAGATACGGATGTCAATATTTGGTCAACGGTTTTCCGGTTTTTAACGTTGCACGCGGTTATTTCCCAAATCGCTAAATATAGGATTTGGTCCATCGCTTTCAGTTTAACTCTGAAGCAGCCGACAGGATGATTGGCGAAACGTCAGTAAGTTTGATTTATTGGCGAGTGACGGACGACGAACAAGAGGATTTGTAAAAAGTATTACATCCCGTGGAAGTCTCATTCTAAGGACAATAAGTATTCTTGAAAATTCAGTGTATGTAGCAAAAAAATATAAACCTTTTTTTTAATGCGAAGAAATAATTAATTAACTATTTTTTTACCCTTGCTTATTTTTGCGTAAACATGAGGGGGTAGTTTGTTATACAGAGCGTTTTAATAAAATCTTTTATTTAATGGAACATCCTGAACATTATACATATTTTATTATATATAAAGGGGAGTCAATGATGTGGGTGTCATTAGGTAGTTTACAGACGGGTAGTAATAATACAAAAAGCCTTTATCTTACTCGTTTATTAAACACTCGCCCCGCTGCGCTCCGCTCAAGGCAAACAAACTCGTTAATCAAATGCCGTTTTTCTACTACGGTGCTTGAATATTTAGACACGGCATTTCCCGGACAGTTGATTGATTGAAAGGAATCATTAGAATATCCTGCAAGATCCCCACATATTACTGCACTTAATTTTTTTTGTCTGATGGACAAAAGTGTCTAAGGAAACACCACAAAATTTAGAATCAGATCCGAAAAAATGGAAATTTATTAAAATATCACACGTATTATTGAATGAAACTTTGGAAGGGTTTTTAAAGCGATTAACATATTGTTATTGTTATTAGTAATTTTCAACGCCTAACAAAAAAAATTCTTTGACGTGTTTTTCATTGTTTTGCTCATAAAATTAAGAAATAGTTAAGAATAAATTTTGGCGCCGATTTCTATAATGCATTTTTAAAAATGGCGTTCCATTTAGAAAAGAAAATTTGCTATCTAAATCTATTTTAAGGCATCCAGTATATTTTCCATATACCAAAAAAAAATGCTGAAGAAAAAATATATTCTTCTATAAATGATGATGATTTTTATTGAATTTGTTACATATTTTATCCATTCAGTGTATTATTCTCTATTTTTCCTAAAAGTTTCATCTACATCTACATCTACGATCGGTAAGAGAGAAAATTGCTGCGACGAAACAGGTGGAAAAAAAACAACCAGTCTCAGAGAACACCAGCGATAAGTGACTTTTCGGCAGATCAGCAGTTTCTAGACATCATCGCAGAACAAGACACTTGCATCTATGGTCACACTGAGAATGCAGTGTGTTGCTCTCAGAACTGCCGATCACGTGACACAGTTTTAACTAAATATAAGGGCACAAAAACTGTTTAAAGGGGACCCTTTTGAACTCTATAACACAATACTTAACTCTAATTCAGAAGTCGTGTGTGTGTGTGTGTGTGTGTGTGTGTTTATCAACAGTGTGCCTCTCTCGAAACCCAATGAACACATCGTAAGTTGCAAACAAAATGTGTGACTTATTATCCAAACCAGAGAGATGGTTGAGATAGTTATGTTAAAAATAAAATTCAATGCTGTTGGTCATGATTACGTTTCACACAAGATGATAACGTATGTTCTTCCGCATCTATTCCCAGTACCTGCATGCCGTATGTAATGCCTGACAGCAATATAGCACAACAGCAGCACAGAATAGCGTTTCTCATCAATGCATATATTGTCGACAAAAAATATGTGAAGCATATTCCGTGATTCATATAAAAATCAGTAAGTTTTTTCTCAAAATAAATAAGAACTAAAAGTTCAGATTTTCATATATATATATATATATATATATATATATATATATATATATATATATATATATATATATATATATATATATATATATATATATATATATATTCTCACGTATTGATTCACGGATGGAAAAATGTGATGACACTATATTCCGGGATATCATCCGCTCGCTCGACTGGAATCCTGCAGACGTTTCGCCAAAATATCACTTGGCATCTTCAATGCTCGCGCTCCGAAAACACTTCGAACACTTCGAATACTGGGAGGTTATCGGCTGTGCGTGCGGTATTTATACCCGGCGCCGAAGATGGTAACGGTGCTGCTTGTGTGGGAGGGGAGGTGGCTCCGCTCCTCGAATTGTCGCTTTGTAATTTCGCCCGATCGTAGTTGCGATGTCCCCGTTGGCTGCTGCATATCGCTCTGCTGTTTGATTATCGTTCTCCACGTATTGGATAAATGCAGAGCGTAGTCTCTCGTATTCAGGTGTTCGGACTTTTCTATCTCGATGGCCTCTCTTATAATCCTAGTCCTAAAATCAGGAATATTAGCTATTTGTTTGTTTCTTATGGCTAAACGATGTTCCTCGAGCCTGGCTGAAATCCTTCTGTTGGTCTGTCCCACATACGTCAGGCTGCACGATCCGCATGCTGCACTGTATACTCCTTGGTTTTCCAGAGTAATTTTTTGTTTTGGGTTTCTTAGGATTGCTCCGATGGTATGATCAGGTTTGTATGCCGTTGATATGTCGTATTTCCGTAATATTCGGCCGATTTTGTCAGTAACCCCTTTGATGTATGGCAGGACAGCGATCGATCTTCGTTGGGTCTCGTCCTACACTCTCTGCTGCGGCTGTTGTTGTCTACCGATTGCATTGCTGATGATGCGCCTTTGGTATCCGTTTTGTCGAAGACAGGTACTAATTTTTTTCAGTTCTTCATCTCTGTTCCTCTCGTTTGTGAGCCTGAAGGACCGAGCAATTAATGTGATGTGATGTGATGTGCACATCTAAAAAGGGCAGACTGTTATCCTCTTCAAGTTCAATTGTAAATTGAATCCTTGGGTAAATGGAATTCTGATGATCTAGGAATTTCAAAAGCTCCTCCTAACTAACCAAAAGGCCATACAACAAATACGTCATCAACGTATCTTGTCTATAGTTTTGGCTTCAGATTTGCCTTCTCTATTGCTTTCTTTTCGAAGTAAATCATGAAGAGGTTGGCAATCACAGGTGAGAGAGATGATCCCACTGCTGCTCCATCTATTTGTCGGTAAATTTTCCCGTTGTACATAAAGTAAGCGTTTTTCAGGCAATGTCTTGACAGATCCATTATGTATGGCGGAAGATCTTCGTTTTCTTCTATAAGCAAGAGTGCCTCTTCTACCGGAATGCTCGGGTAGAGGGATTTGACATCGAAACTTGCCATAATGTCGTCCTTGTTCATCCTGAGAGAACCTAAAATCTGAGTGAAATGATCTGAGTTTTTAACATAGGAGTCTGCCTTTTCCACTATGGGCTGAAGCGCACTGGCCAGATGTTTTTCCAGCTTGCACAATGGCGATTTAAAGGCGCTTACGATCGGACGCAAGGGACCCCGTCCTTATGGATCTTTGGAAGGCCGTAGAATTTTGGGCAACGAATTCCATTCACCCAAGGATTCAATTTACAATAGAACTTGAAGAGGATAACAGAGGTAGCAAGTTTTGAATTTGATATTAAGCGCTGGTGATTTATTTAAAAAAAAAACAAAATATTAACGAAAATCAAAATATTCTATGTATTTACAACAACTAATGGATTTACATTTCTACAAGCTTGCTGAGTGAAAGTCAACGCGAATCCTCTGTTAGCGACGTCGCTAAGTTCGTCGCCGTTGGTGACCGCGGTCAAAACGAAGGGCTTTGAGGCACCTGAAAAAAAAAACAGACCACGTTATTTAGCCCAAATGGACTTTATATTAGTAAAATGAAACTTATCCTGCGTTATAAGCCCACAAAGAATACCAAACCAGCTCCAAGTCCAAACAAGCTTTGACTTTTACGTGGGAAATAAAATTTTCAAGGAATCTCTCACGGGAACAAAGTAAACAGATACATCGTTCAGAAAAGATAAAGACGAATTCATAACATATGTAACGAAATTGAAAAATACGCCAATAAAAATGGACCAACACTACTGAGAATATAGAAAGATGACGCCTTTACTGTGAAGAACTAATGGCCTCAGAAGCCCTACCCAGTACAAATACCTACTATACCTACCATTCTCCGTAGTGAAATCGTATCGGCGATAAGAAAACTGAATAACCACAGATACCAAATAATAAGATTTTACCTATTTCGTCATATACGAAAATGGGTTTTTATTTTTTCGCGCTAGATAAAATTAACAAAAAGACAAAAAAGAGGAAATGGAAAAAAAAAAGTTCGTCCAAGGCTACACTTACACAGTGTTAGGTCGCTGAATAGAGTTGGATGGTTTCAGTAGTGTAGGAATTAGGGATGACGTTATGGACCCTACAAAGCAGACAAAAAAGCTTTATTAATTTTCCCGACGCAAGAGGAATCGAGAAGATTTTTAAATAGTGTGATTATTTAACTTTCGATTAATTAAATATGATTATTAAATGTAAAAACAATCATTTTTCAAAATTCACTTACTAATAACGGTTGGAAATTGGTTTCCGCAAAACCTGTCTGTATTCACCGCTGTTCCGTTCGGAAAAATCGGATTGGGAACCACGACGAAATCTGTGGTGCAATTATCTCCCAGTATAAAGCTTGCGGGCAAACCAAAGAGTACTTCCACCAATGCAGTGTTCTCTGTTAAGGTGAACGACGTGCTATCAGCTGACTGAGCCCACTGAATGGAACAATACCTGTAACACACTCATTCATCAACACATTCATCCAATTTTCATAAGTTTTATATATATATATACTTTCTTTTTAATATTATTTAAGATGTCATGTATGTGAGAAACTGTTACCAGATTAAATGAAAAATGAATCGAATCTTTAACTGCAGTCGGGACATCTTGGAAAGGCGTAAAAATTCATTCAGTTGGTTGAAGTCGGATAGATAATTTAAAATAAAACTATTTTTATTATTACACTTTTCGATTAATAAAATTATGAGAAACGATTTACCCCGGAGCCATGGCAATACAAATGCCGTAGTTGGTGTTGGCGATCTGTCGCGTCCCTGGCACCGAAGTACCATTGTTGTAATTAACCAGTGCGCCGTTGATTGAAGTGCCATAATTGAAGCTTCTGACCGTTCCCGTCAGGAATGAGGTGTCGTAATACTGAAGACAACCGGTCGGTGCTGAAATCAACACCAATCAATTGCGATTTTTTAGCTAGTCCTATCAGAGTACTGAGAAAAAGACGCTTTCTTTCTCAACAAAGTCGTATTAAATTAACTATCACTTTCTTTATTCTTCTAAGAACCTTTACAAAATCAAAAGGTCGATGAAAATTCTGTAAAATCATCAAAAAATGGACGCTGCAGCGGCATACCTAATGTGGGGCAGTCGCAGGCGAGCTGCGTGGCCTTGAAACTCCATATCCTTTCCAGGTCCGCCGTGGCACTAGTGGTTATTGATATTATTATGCTGTCGTTTCCGTTGAAATTCAGGTAAATGTGTTGACCGGAGTTCTCACCGCATAGTATGGGAACGTTTGACGCTGAGCCGGTAATGACCATCGAATCAGTCACGCAGAATCCGTTTCCGTCAGGCTGGGCCAGTATAAATGACAAAAAATCAAGCCGTACCTGCAATATATAATTTTTTTTAAAATATTTCTTGTAGTGATTTAGTGCCACCAACGTGCCACGATAATAATAACATTAATAATAACCAAAGAACTATATTGTAAAAAACTGTAGAATCTGTCAAACTGAAATAGATGCAATAGTCGGCGATATTAGAAAGACGATAAACAGAAGCGAAACAGAGAAAACAAGAGTAAACGAAGACGAATTTAAAAATCAAAAAATGAAACACGAAACTACAAGCTACCACACGAAGAATCTTTTGAAAGGAAAATAATAGAGAACTATGAAAAACTCGGAACTGAATTTTGTGCGCGAAATAGGCTACCTGAGATAAAAATGGCGAATGAAGTACGGAAATTGATTGCTTGGTTGGTTAAACAAAAATCAGGTAGACCTGCTAGGCATCGATTCACTGGTGTATGCTACAGCAGCAACGATATCAGAAAATGTACTGGGGAAACCTACAAAAACAAAAAACAGACAAAGATCTAGCATGAGCTAAAAAGAAAGATTAAAAGATAGAATACAGATTGAGATAATAAAAAAACTAAAACAAAGAGTAGCGGCACTGGGACAAAGACTGCAACGATACATAAGGAGAGAGAAACAATATATGCAAAATAAAAACTTTAGTTCCACCTGTAAGAAATTCAACAGATCCTTAAAGGAAAAAGAGATCAAGGGGACAAAGACAAAAGAATGACTTGGCAAAAAATAAGTACAAATGAAGTCACAGAAGCTCTTCGAGAAGTCGCTAACTGGAAGGCTCCAGTGCTTGACATGATCCCCAACTTCTGGTTAAAAAACCTGATATCGGTCCACTCTGCTCTGTGAATAAAATTTTACCAAAAACTAAGATGCATTCCTATCATGTACTTCATGAAGATCTCGTGAAAATAATTAGATCAACATTTTGTGAGTGGTCATAAAAAAGAATTTTTGAGCAAGATGATTGTTTCGAATATGTGTTCTTTACGGATTGATTGACATTCCTGAAAAACGGTGATTTAAATATTCATAATTTTCACTATGCCAGATAGTCAGTTTAATTGTTTTTGTTTTTAAATACAGTGAATAGGCCAGTTTACTTATACTTTTTAGAAGAGAGATTGCAAAATATGTTAGGTAGATAATGTGGTTCCTTCACGATGGAGCATCTGAAGTTACGAAGTACTTAAATTATTTATAAGGAAGAGGTAGCCCCCTAAATCTCCTAATCTAACAAAGACGGACTATTTTCTGTGGGGATTAAATAAAGATATAAAATAAAACAGATAATAAGAAAAAAGATATAAGATAAGAAAAGAAGTTGGATAAGAGTGTAGTGTATTTTTGATGTCTTGACCCGTTTCTATTGTTTTTATAATAAAGTTTTACTATAACCCGTTTTTCTTCATTGGTAAAGTCCACTTCTAATGACACAGTAGCGCACTAGATATTAAAATGTCATCGACAGATTTGAAATTCATTGCTAATTATGGTATAAAAGTTTTGGTTCAATACTTCGAATTTGAGGGAACACAAATACAACTTGTGACACATCCATAAAAAGCAGTAATAAGTGTTAAAAAAGTTGATGGTTGATGGTTGGCCATTAGATGAACCCTAAAAATTTCCAATAAGAAAATATTAACGAAAACCGGAAGTTTCATATATTCAGCCCTATTTCCGGAAGTAACAAAAATAACGTGAATTTCAAAACCCGATATTATTTAAATCTTTCTGTATCTCTTATCGTTACCGAGACTCAATTTTGAAACATGCGGTTTATAAAAATATACCTTACAAATGGCTAACTACTGTTGAAACAACTTTTGTATTTGACGTTTTTTTCTCAAATGCTAAATGAAAATTTTAAAAGAGGGAGGACATTATAAATGATCAACCGGTATATAAAAATTACGTAAAGTAAAAATGTTGACTAGCAACTGTGGAATTCCTAAGACTACTGTATTCTCAGTACGACTTGGACTATAGGAAACTAAAAAAACACCGCTTACCTGACAAGAACCAACGCAAGGCTGAATGGTGTAAACGCATTGAGTGTCTCCGTTGAACGTGTTAGGAAAATTCGTGCTCGTAAAGTAGGTGTTGTTGTATGAGGAAATATCGCCACAGGTTCTCTGCACTTAAAAAACATATCGTTAAAATGGTGAAAGAAAAACGGCAAATCCGCATCATCGTTGTTGCCTCTGTGTTGTTGGTGGGTGATTTCAATATTCCCTCTGTCACTGTCTCAACTCATGTTAATGCCAAACATAGATCCATACTTAACCTGAACGCCATATTGAATCTTAAACATCATAACTAATCTAAATAACCGTTGCTTAGACTTCGACGCCGAGCTAGTGAGAATAGATAGAAATAGAAAAACGAAACTGAATTTAACTTCATGAATTTACAAGTCTTCTAAATTTCACAAATCTGAAACAGTTCTATTGAAGCTCTGAAAGAGCCAACAGAATAAGTGGGGAAACAACCGACACAGAACAAATCCAGAAAATTTGTAAGTAGTGCAAAACATATTTTTTACACAATCAATCATCATCATCAAAACAATAATCAATTTTACAGGAAGTTAATTTGTCACTTAAGGACACAACATATATAATATTTTATCGTTGACTTTAGAAGTTGAGGAATCTAACGGCAAAAGAACTGCAAATTTTTGAAATATGAACTACAGTTGATGATGATTTAGCCGAAGCTAACCGTGGCACCTAAAATATGTCTCTAAAAATAACACCACAAAAACTAAATTTCGGTTTCACAAGCGTTGGGAATTTTGTTAACTTTCAAATTTTGCAACTTTTTGGTTTACCTTTGACGTCATTGATATCATTGTTAAGCTGCCAAGTAAACAATATTAAATTGTCACATACACAATGCGTTGGATTTACAGCCGTATGTCACACGATATGCTATAACGGTCAGGCAAAATTCTTAGCTCGATGTACCGTTAAAAATCAATTTGTATCGAATGTCATATCAAACGAAGCAAAATGAAAAATCGAAAAGGCCTTGCTCGTAAAGTTACCTTTCTCGAGTACTTCGCCGTGCATTTGATACGCCTAGTATTCAAATGATACAGTAAGGTGATTAAACTGAATCGATTTTTGTTTTCAACAATGACCACTTCTTCCCAGCACTGGAGTTACATTCCTGGAGCCATACGGCAATCAAAAATCCGACGCCATAACAGCTTTTGTCCCTTTTTTATTGTTAAAAAACAAACGAAAATAACATTATAGAGGGTGTTTTGTAACTGACTGTCAATAACTAAGGGAACGATTTTTGAGTCCATTTTAAAAAGAAAACTTCAAATGAAATTTAAAGGTTTCAAAAATAAAATATATTTTATTAATATCTGTAATACCAAAATAGATATTTCAATGAAAACATGTATCAACTATGTATCAAGAGGCATTACCACTTTTTTTTAATACACCAGCGGTGGCGGTAGGGAATTTCGCATGTCTATTTTGCTAGTAATAAACGCCAATTAAGATACCTTCATAGGTTCAGAATTCAGTTTCAGTTCAGCAACTTAGTAAAGTGATTCACTGCAGCAAAAGCTTTGTCACACAAAAAAACCTTAACAAACTCTCCCTTATCGGAACAGTGTCCATGAAATTCAAAACAATGATTAGTATAAAAAAACAACAATATAAAAATTAGTAAAATTAATGAATGAAATTTGAATTTTAATAAATACTTTTGATTTTCTCGGCTTAAGATGAAAAACTTGTATAGGGTTCTTATTGGTTATTCTGTTGAAAAAAAATATCGCCGAATACTGTTGGATATTGCCTTGTGTCATTCAGCCCAAATCCGAAAAATTCTAAATACTTCTGATTTATATTTTGAAAAGAGGTACCCGAAAAAACAACTTCTGAAATGATTAAAAATAAAAATTTTTAATAAAGACTATGAAATCGATTCAGTATCGTTGTATGTTTAACCCGATTGAGATTCGGTCTGAGTTGAAAGCGCAAAAAAGAAGAAAAAACACTGCGCCAAAATTTAGCATAAACGTAATTTGGCAAGAGATAGCTAAAATATCAATACAAAGCTGGTCTAACTTGAAAAACGAGTAATAAAAAAAGAAAATATTAATCGAGAAAAAGATTGAAAATATACTTATATATATATATCTTAGTAAAAGCACTATATTTCTGGTTCAAGTATAAAACAGAATCCGAAAATTAACTCTATTATTCTTACCCAAACAGCACACCCCAATTCCGTTGCTTACACAGGTCCCAGATCCGGTTCCAGTAATTCCAGCACACTGGCGCCTGGTCAAGCAAGTCCCGGAAAATCCCTCCAATGATGTGCACACGTTATTGGCGAATCTAATGACCCCTATCGGCCATCCGGGCCAAACTAAAAAAAATAAGTTTCATTTCATTGAAAGGACTTCACATAAAAGGATCAAAATAAATATTCATATTGCTAATCATTAAACCGTAGCTCTTTTTTTCTGAAATTCACTAAGAATTAAAAAATAATTTGTTGGTAAAGTCGTTTTGGCTTCGAACGCGTCATCCTAGAATAAGCTAGATAAACAACGTCAGTTTTATGTAAAAACTGTCGTAATTCTAATGAAGTTGTTGCTTTATAAGTACAAGGCGATTAGTTGTACAGTTAATTTTCCGTTCATTCCAGAACTCGTTGCGAACAAAAGGGCAACAAAAATTTAACCAAATTTGAACTGAATTTATATACTTATATACTTTATTACTTATATTATTTATATACGGGGTGAAATGAAAAAAAATACTTTGTTTGCAGTACAAGGCGAAGTATCCTAATACCAACTAGGCAGTATCTTCAGTGTTTAATGGAACGGTTGGATGCTACTGGTAAAATTGAATTTTAAAAATGGAAAATAGCAACCCGGATTATTACTAATGTCCAACGATAATAAATACTATTTTGGTTTCTTTTTGCAATGTTTCCGACATCACTTTCGAGGACGAACGATATTTCTCATCGTTTCCAAGATAATAAAAATGCCACCCTACAATACAAGAATGTTTGTGTAAACAACTTAACTAAAGTTCATTAGTTATAGGATTTATAAGAAAATGTAACACGACAGTAAATAGTAACTACCATTTCGGTTGTAGGTTCAGATTGTTACCTGTACAGCACATTGAACATTTGCCCAATAGATAGACGTTTACTTGCTAGTATTCCAAAATAGAAAATCGCAGTGCAATATTTCAAAACGACAACGGAATCGAAACCTCTTTTGTGATATTTTTCGTCGTTTGTAAGCTAATAAAAATGCCACTCTAAAATCCTGTCTATCGTCTAAAAAATTCGAATATCCTGGGAAAAACCGGTGAACATGACATCCTGATTCCTCTAACTTCAACCGATCACAAATTAATTCTCAAAAAACACAATTTAATTGTACTTACATCGGCCGGTCCTTTCTATCTGAGTTTCGCCATCTGAAATTTGGAGTATCCCAAAGACGCAGAACGCTTTCAGAAATAGCGTCAAGTTTTCCGCATCCATAGTCGACACTATCGGTGCCGTTATTAATAAAGGCGACCAACATTTTGAAAACGGTTTTCTGATGGTCTGCAATAGGTGTTAATGAATAATAGCGTTAGTAACAAAATTAGTACATAAAACACCCGTGATACAGATCATGGGCAAGGGGCGTTAAATAATTTTACATTCTTCAAACACTTAATTACTAGTACAACTATTCTAATTTTTATTTTAAATACTCGAAGTCTTGGCAGCCTACGTAGAAGAACTTTCCAATGGAGAGAGTTATACGATAGTTATAGAGAGTTATAGATAGAACGATAATGAATAATATCATTGAATCCGAAATTTCAGTCCTCGGGTATTTGATCTCCGTGTATACATTTATTGAATAGTTCTTCTAATAGTTCTAGTAATATGTCTGGTGCATTCTTTATTAGCTCCATGGGCATGTCTCCGGGTCCAGCGGCTTTTTTATTTTTCGATCCCCTTAGGGCTCTTTTAATATCTGTTATTGTGATTTTATGTACATGATGGTTTATGTTTATGTCTATACCGTCCATTTGGAATTCTGGCCTATTTTCAGTTAGTAACTTTTAATAATTACTTTTAACTCACTAGTCTCCTTTGTATTTTTCCTTAGATTCTTCATTATTTTCCATTCTTCCGATATTCTTGCGCCGCCCATGAATCTACCTACTTCGCATATCTTTATTAATATTAATATTAAGAGATCCAATCTGCTCATAACTGACTGCAAATATTAGTATTTTTTTAAGGAAATCAGTGACGTGCCACAGACTGCCTATGAACAAATAATATTTTGGTTAATTAGGTCGCCACAGCAAGAGATTTTTTTTTGAAAAATAAAATATCTATCTAAGACAAAATATCTAGTTTTTATTGACCTAATAGTGTGCTTTAAAAAGAAATTAGAAGACTGTTCTTTCTACTACTACAGTTTTAGTAAAAAAAAAAACACGACCTTCTATTGAAAATTTTCTGTTAATAACTCTTTGAAAAATAGTAGAACATAGAAACTCTCAGCTTAGTATAAACTCTGCAACTGCATGGGAGTTTTCATCGGCTCAAATATGCATTTCTGGATAAGTTAGCTTCAACTGTAAATAGTTTTTCTTGATCAAACAAGGGATAATGCTCAATTTTGCCCGAAAACCACTGACAGAAATTCAGTTCAGGATTTTCATCAATAGACTTTAAAACTGCACGCTGTCATATTAACGATATTGTTTTTAAGTAAAAACCGTACATGGGATTGAAGAAAATCAAGAAATTAAATTTCTTTAGATTTTTTTGCTTGGAGATTGTAAGAATAGTTTTTATTTTGAGAGGAATCGATCAAAATTGACAGGTGAAATTCCGTACGCCCGAAACTGGTGTATCTTATTTATGTTGCATGCCTCTTCATACGTGTGCCAAATTTCATGGAAATATATAAACTGGTGTTACAGATATTAAAAATATATATTTTATTTATTTATTTAGGACATATGTTCATATAAAGTTTTCTATTCAAAATGGGTCCAAAAATCTCCCTCTTAATTATTTGCATTCACCCAGTCTCTTCACTCCACAACTACCAAGTTTTCTTTTATGTTCCTTATACAAATCCAAAAATTTAAAAATCCTCTCGTGTGTGAAATAGTTTGAATCTTCCTACGCTTTTAAAACACCAAAATACAAATACAGATTGTTTTCAAGCGTCAATCTAATAAGAATAGTTAGGTTACGGCCAAATTTTGATAAGACTTGAAGATGACGTAAAGTCATGATAGTCAATTAGATGCGTTGGGATTTTACAAATAATTGCGGGCCACCAAACTAGTAACCCGTATAAACCTATAAGTAAAATTAAGCTACCCTGACAAAAAATCCATACTCATTAAAAAAAAAAAACGGCATTAACCAATCGAATATCGTGTTTAACCGCAAACATGTGAAGCCGTTCACATTTTAAGTCGCTTATATAAAGGGCGAGCTTTCTCGACCCCATTGCTAAGTTTCGTTCGAACCAGAACCATGATCGGAGCACTAATACTCCTCGCGGCTCTCGCAACCATTTCTGACGCTAGACCGGGGTACTTGCACGCAGCGCTCTCAACGGGGGTGGTTGGTTACGCTCCCGCTACGATTTCGCAGTATAGCACCGACGTGGTACACAGCGCTATAGTCGCCACGCCCTTAGCTACGCTGCCCATCGTCGCCTCCGCCCCAATTCTACATGGCGCCCCTATCGGCCACGGACTACACTACGGATGAGTTTCAATCAACGTACTTTTTGTAAATCGCTTTTAAATTATTATACACTATAATAAATGTCGGCAAATATTGTTTTGTTTTTCGCCTTTGTGTATGGTTTTATGTTAGTACGCCGTCAAAGGAATTAATAATAATAACAATAATACAGTCGAAACTCTATATAGCGAAATTGAGGTTACTGCTTTTTGTTTCGTTATAAACAGTTATAGGCACTTGAAAAATAACAATACGCATATGTGTTCCGTAACACTAAATTATTTTATATACATATTTTAACATCTACTTAGGAACGTTCTATATAAATATTTAAGAACTATATTAAATGTTTCAAATAATAGGTCTTTTTTTTTTTTAGTATGCCAATACGCATATCTCGTACTTTGGCTTGTATTTTCACCATTTCTTCGAGAGGGGCTTCTTACCTATGATGCGTAAAAAAATTATCTGCAGCTGATCAACTTCTTCACCTTCATGTTCCTCTTGGTGCTCTTCCTCACTCTTTCTTGCTTGTTGTAATATGGCTTCCTCTGTCAAGTCTGCTGTTGTAGGTAAATCCGGATCTATCACCATAAAAGCAACTCCTCACTTGTAAACGTAATTGTTGTTTGAAGCTGCTTTATCAACTCGCTTAGTGGCTGATCATCTTCCAAGTCCTGTTCGCATTCTGTCTCACTAATAAGTCTTGCATGACGATAGGAGTGTTGAATTGTTTGGAGGAGTGTTGAAAGTTGACTGCATCTAGCATATTAATGGAAAATTTGTCTTCGGACTCGATCATTTCCATGAAAATGGTTTTCCTGTATCGTAAGTAAGTACCCACGAACATTTTGATATTTTTACAAGTTCTAAGGTAAAGATGTCATCCGATAATAAAGTGGGACACCCGGCATTTGCAAACGAAAATTCCTAATGCAGTGCAACGCAAAATACGCCGAAAAATAAACAAAACAAATGCAACGGCGCATAGACGGTGAGGTAGACGATAATTATTTGCCTATTGTTTCCGGAGGCCGACAAAGGGCGACAATCGATGAAAAATTGAAAATCCGACCGTCGCAAATCCGCCTTGACATCGTTAATTGATGTTTGGCCGGAACTGTCATCGATATTAATCCGTATATAACATCCACCGCGGCGTCCAAAACCATCAGTTTTCTTTCGTAAACGGAAAATGATGAGATCCACTTTGGTTTACTGTGTCACCGTGATTGGGATCGTCTACGGCACTCCCATCTACCACAGTTTCGGTGGCGTAGGCTACCCTTCAGGGGTCAGTGAGCATTCGTCGGTCCATTCCAGCTTCCAAAAGGACGTGAGCGTGAGCAGTCCAGTTATCGGACACTCTGTACACCACGTGGTACCGGTGGGTTCGGAAAGCCGCCATTCCTACACCCGGGAAACGGAAGATGTCGTTCGCCAGTCGGTGGGTGGCTTGGGAGGCGTCATCGGAGTGGCATAAGTTCGATGGAGCTCCATTAGTTTGGAAGTCAAGCGCAAAAAGGTAACATTTTCATATTAATTTGCAAGAAAAATTGATTTCTAAATTATTATTATTATAATTCATTAATTCTATATTGCACATAGCATCCTCATGGAGTTCAGAGTTCCTTTAAATCATGTCCTTTTCTAGCGATTTTCGTTGTAAAGAATTTATATTTATATGTTCATTTATGTCTATTTTTAAATTTCCTTTTGAATTCCTTTTGAAATTCTCTAACTTTTTTAATTATAATAATACATATATATATATATATATATATATATATATATATATATATATATATATATATATATATATATATATATATATATATATATATATATATATATATATATATATATATATATATATATATATATATATATATATATATATATATATATATATATATGTATATATATACACCTAAAACTAATAGTGTTCACGTATTTAATATTGGAGTTATTCCAAGATTCCAAAGAAATATAGTATAAGTTTTTTCAATAGAAATGATCACTCTAACATGATCTTCAAAAAAAAAGGCAACAAAAAACGTATTGCGTGAAATATCCAGATTATAGGTTGTAGATAGCAAATTCTACATATTAACTGAAAAAATAGAACCCAGCTTAATAAAAACCACGGTGATCCGGATAAGTAAATTAAATTAAGAACTAAAAGTAAAACTAACTAAATTAAACTAAATATTCCAAACAAAGGCGTATTTTATCGAATCGCGCGTTATTTTGTAATTTTTTTTTTTTTGCTCGAACCTCTTCTGGTTCATCAATAAAGGTGGTTGTTTTAATCTTAGAAGTACAAGAACATCATTCAGTGGAATATTAATGTCTACGGCCCACTTTATGCGAACATAAAAACTTCTAACTGCCGCATCGTTTTAAGAGTCTGGTTCGTATGATTTAATTCTTTATCTTCAATTCAAATTAATATAAAGGTTTTTTACCTCTTACTTCTTCATCAGAATGAGGAAGATCTGCAGAGTTATATATTGTGTCTGATTTGGAACTTGCAACGTGGGTCATAACATTATGCCAACCCATCTCAAAAACTTCCTGGGAGAGTATCATATTAATGGGTTTTAATATCTCAACAACACTTTCTTCGTTATTAGATAAAATATGGGTTAATTTTTTTTCGATAAAATGATTTCGTTTGATTTAATTTGTTGGAAGAAATGAGATGGTAAATGGCCCATCCTCACTTGTCACCTGTTTTTTCAATAAAACACTCTAGGATCATA